CAGCCAAGGTCTTAGGCATCAGCTCATAAGGTTTTGTTTCTTCCTTTCTTGCTTCCCAAGGAGTCCAAGTCAATCTGGGATCCTGCATTACCCTCGATGTCCTGGGAGTTGTGGATCTGAAGTACTGCACTGGCAATGGCAATGGACAAGTGAGAAAACCTTACCCTTCCCTTTCTGGAAGCAAATATGGGGGGAGGGTTTCCGAGCTGCTGCCCAGAGCCAACCCTGAGCCCTTCATGCCTGGCATCTTCCCTTTTGAGAGGTTCCTTCTTGAGGGTGCAGATGCTGAAACAGAGCCATGGGTGAGCAGAGATTTCTATCCAGGATGTTGAACATGGATTAATTGTGGCCAGCCCTCTTGCACTGATCAATTTCTGAATGCACCAGATAGCAGCTGTCAGATGCAGCATGGATTCACTGAATTCAAAGAAAGAATTCTTACGGTCTCTGCGCAAATCCACAGCCTTGATTCCGGGTCCTTTGGAAAAGAATGAGGGCCATGGCAGCACTCCGCAGCAGGCAGCGCTTCTTCCATTGTGGCAGGGACTTTTCTGTAGCTTTGGTGACATCACTGTCTCTTTCTTCGAAGAAGACATGTCTTCTTTCCCTTGGCTTTTTAGTCTCAGCAGATTCCTGGTGGCATCTTCAACAACACGCAAGGCGGCATCTTCAACAACACACAAGTCATCATTGGTGGCCAGTCCCAAATTGTGACCATCAACAGGCAATGGCGTGTGGCAATCATTGAGCAAAGGAGCTTCAGCGGGTCCTGGAAAACCATCTGGAACTACAACACGGTGAGTGGCAGGGATGGGACTGCTTGAAAAAAATCCAAGGAGTCTGGCTGCTCGTACAGCTGGCCCAGGTGATTGTTTCTTCATTCTGGCCATGTGGAGTGCAGAATTTCAAGTAGGAACTTTCTGCACTCGTTCTGGTTTACAGAAAAGGTCTTTACAATCCCAAGGCCTGAAAGATTGAAGTGTAAGTGCTAAAAACTTTTGGAGAGCATCTCCCTATTCCACAGCCTTTCCCCTAGGGAATGTGCCTAGCAGGAACCAGCTCCTGACAATTATCTTGCTAACTGCTGTAATTTCTTGTTTAGAATCAGATTGGTTTTGGAAGTCCGACCAAGAAGATAATTTTTGTTGCCAGTTCATTGGTGAACAACCTCCGGTCTTATGGGTCAGATGTCTTCTCCATGTGCAGTGGACTCACCACCTACAAGGCTTATGAAGTTCACGGTGAGTGCAAGCAAAGGAATTCTGTTTCTAAGTGATCTGGCCTTTTTCTCTCCTGATGAATTACCTATTGCTACATTTCCACCTCAAGTCACACAGAAGCCAAGGGTTTCAGCAGTTGCACAAATGGTTCAACATCTTTGCAGATCAGGACTGGAACAGGATGTTGTCACAGGCCTCATAAATTATCAAAACGAAACCTTACAGTTCCTTTCCAGTAAAGCTTAATGAGTTTGGGCCCATGAACTGACAGCAGCCTCACCATGCCATACTCAGCCATTGGGACTCTCAGGACAATGTGCAACAGAGCCACAATTTCTGCACAGGAAAATCCCAAGGGTGTTCAAGAGCAGGTCTTTGTGAGCATTCCAGGCTGAGCCAAAGAGCTGGTGCTCACTGGGGACTCCAAGAGAATCTGTCCCTTGCACAGCTCAAACATTCCCAGAGCAGCAACTATTCATACCTGGTGTGCTCTGAGCAACACCACCACCCTTCGCTAGAAGGTCAGCCAAGGTCTTAGGCATCAGCTCATGGTGAATTTTCTTTTCTTTTCCAGCTTCCCAAGGACCCCAGTTGAATCTGGGATCATGCATTACCCTCGATGTCCTGGGAGTTGTGGATCTGAAGTACTGCACTGGTAATTTCCATGGTAATGGACAGGTGAGAAAACCTTAGCTCTTACCTTTCTTGAACCAGTTTGGGGGTTCAAAGCTGCTCAAAGCCAGTGCTGATGTCCTTCTTGCCTGACATCTCCTCTCTTGAGAGGTTCCTGCCTGAGGGTGCAGATGATGAAGCAGAGCAATGGGTCAGCAGAGGTTTCTGTTCAGGATCTTGAACATGCATTTACTCTGGCCAGTGCTCTAGCATGCATCAGCCTCTAAAGGCACCAGATGGCAGCTGTCAGATGCAGCAAGGATTCACTGAATTAATAGAAAGAATTCTTACAACCTTTGCCCAACACCACAGCCTTGATTCTGGGTCCTTTGGAAAAGACTGAGGGCAGTGCCAGCACTCCCCAGCAGCCAGCACTTCTTCCATTGCAGCAGGGATTTTTCAGAAAATTTGGGGACATCACTGTCTTTCTTCAAATGCTAAATATCTGCTTTCTCTTGGCTTTTCAGTCCCAGCAGACAGGTAACAACTGCCATTTCTCTGGTGCCTGTGTTTACCAAAACATGACCCTCAGCAGTCAGACACGTGAGGTGATTATCGAGCAGAGGAGCGAGCAGTTCTCCTGGAAAACCATCTGGAACTACAACATGGTGAGTGGCAGGGAGGGGGCTCCTTCTAAAGCTTTACTGGCAGACTGGCCCTTGGTACAGCTGGCCCAGGGACAGGGAATGTTTCTGTATTCTCAACATCCAGACTCCAAGAATAGGGGTAGAACCTCTCAGCATTTGTTAATCTTGTTAGTCAGAATCTATCCCATCATTTTGGGTGGAAAACCAAACTGCAAGTGCTCAATAAGTTTTTTTTTTTTTACAGGACATCATTGCAACCAAAGTGGTGCAAGAGAGAACGTGCTACATTTCCCACCATGAACAGAAATGAGATGCCCACCTTTGATGCTCTCATCAGATATGCTTCAGAGAACAAGGTAAGATTCAAAGTCAGCAGTTGCTTGTGATATTGTACTGTATTTGAAATTGCTTTTTGTGCCTGAAACACTGCTGTTTTCAAAATCCTCTTAACCAACTGGTAAATTAAAAGCCAGTTTAATTGCTATTTTCATGGATATTTTCAGTGATATTTTTCAGGTACATCATTTGAAGGCTTTCAGAAATTACAGTATGCACTTTTGGATGCCTTTAGTGCAGGTTCATTTTGAGTCCAAGTCCCAAATAGTTAGATTATTTTTACAATTATTTAAATCATTATTTCAATTGACTATTTATATTACCTAAGTAACCAAGACTTTAGATTATTTCCTAAGTATGCTTCAGCAAGTCTCATTCTCAACGTCTAGAAAAATGCTTTTTCTTCAGAAGATCTAATTGAGGAAGAAAAAATATTCCAATTTGGTAGAAAAAATATTTTGGTAAGCTTTCAAACTTTTTGAAGATATACCATGTTTCTTTAGTTCAGCCATCCACATTAGCACAGACATTATACAAATGACCTTAGCATTCAGCATATTCACCTTTGCTAAACGCAAGCTTCCCTTGAAATCTTACAACTGAGTTGGTAAAAAAACCACATTTTCAATAGCAGGAAAACCTGTAGGGCAGAAGGGAATCAGGAGGAGACTTCTGCCAGCCAACAGCCCGGGTGCCCCTGAGGGGCGAGGGCAGTGACTGAGCACATGCCTTGGAAGGAGCTCTGGCTCCACAGAGCGGCCGCACTCCTCTTCTCCTCTTCAGCACTTCCCTTGTGCTGCCGCTTCCCCTCAGGCTCCTGCACCTTGGCTCCCTCAAAACCATCTGCCCTTGGAGCTGCCTTCAAGGCTTGCCACTGGTCCCACAGTCTCCCAGGGACTGAAAGGTGTCCCTAAAGGCAGTTGGGACTCCAACACCCAGCCCTGAGTCATCCTTCCTGAGCTAGGAACAGCCCTAGCAGGAACCAGCTGCTGGCACTGAGCTTGCTGAATGCTGGTATTTGTTCTTTAGAACCAGGTTGGCCTTGGAAGACCTACCAAGAAGATCACCTTTGTCACCAATGGATTGGTCAGCAACCTCAACTCCTACGGAAGAGACATCACGGCTATGTGCAGTGGACTCACCACCTACATGGCTACTGAAGTTCACAATGCCAAAGGGGTGGGACTGCAGGGGAGAAATCTCCCTTTTGGCAGGGATGGAACTCCACATGCTGAACCATGAAAGAGAGAAGGGCTCTGTTCCAGGGGCCACACACTCTCGTGACACATCCACAGGACAATATTCTCTCCTTCAGCACCCAGAGGCAAATCAACAGTCTCAGCAAGTCACATAAAGTTAGTCACATAAAGTTAGAGCTTAGGAGAACCATGAGGCATGAGAGACCCCATGTGAACTCAGATCCTCCTCATCAAAATCCTTTAAAATAAAAGTTTGGACCAATTCAACATTCAAGGGAATGTCTCCATGATAAAAATTGTCCACAACAGTTAACACAAATGAATTTATCATCACAACAAATAATTCTCCTGCATACTTTAAATCCTCTTCAGCTGGATCCCACTGCAGAATGGCACACACAGGGTCCAGGGCTGCAAAGGGTGAGGGTGCAAAGGGTTTAAGAGCATTTAAACACTGACTCATTTACAAGGTGATTCAAGAGTGTTTACCACAATTACAACAAAGACTGAGATATAGATTGAAGATAGCAGCATTCATACCCTAATCACTCCTCATGCACACACACAGGTCCGGAGCTGTTTGCATCTCTATCTATGTGTGCAGAAGGACCTGTTAAAAATTCCCCTGGAGTTCACTGAAAGGGGTCAAATGCCTTTGCATTTCTCTGTGGGTGAGGGTTGAGTCCCGAGGAGAGGGGAATGCCAGCCCAGTCTTCAGGGAATCAAATTTTGACTGCAAACCTGAGGCTTTGCAAGCTCCAGGAGACATCCCACTCCACAGGAGAAGCTTGAGGAGCCCACTGCAGTCCAGGGCAGCCCAAAGACCCCACCTAGCACTGCTGTTTGTGGAGTCAGGGTGAGATGATTGTCCTTAATTCCCAGGAGATTTCCACCCTGGCCTGTCCTGAGTTTTTAACAATGGTCCTGTTCCACTCAGGCTGTGGCACAGGTAGCTAATGTTCCAAGGCTGTCAGGGGTGAGTGATTATCCCTTGTTCCCTGCCTGGGTCAGGGAACCAATATTCCTGATATAAGCAGTGTCACTCCCACGTTTCCCTCTCAGAGTTCCCAGCTGGGGTAAAGCCTGAATGTGAAGCCTGACACAAGAACCCTGATGGCTCTTGTGGCCTTCCCAGCCTCCCCTTTGAGGCCACAAACCATCTCCCCTTTAATCTGATCTCCAAGAGAAATAATCCCCAAAACATGGCTACAGCAGCCAATGCCTTATTGAGAGAAACACTGCTGGGAATCCACAAAGCTAAATCCTTACCTCCTTTAATCCATCCCAAAAATTAGAACATCAAGAAAAGCTCCAAGGAGCACCACAATGAAAGTTCACACCACTCTGGCACTGGGGTTATGCTTGAGCAGGAGAAACATCATACATGTGACATTGCTGAAGGAGGCAATAAAACCGTTTTTTTTTTTTTTTTTGCCTACCAACAGATTCCCACCTCATAATCATCAGACTCCAGCAGATCAAAATTTCCAAAAGTACAATCCCCACATTTATCAAGTGGCTACACCAGGAAATAATTATCAGGGACATGCAGCAGGGAAACAAACGACAAAATAATTTTATTGCAGCATTCAGCCCTTCCACACCTAATTCTGAAAACAAATAAAAGGTGGGAGGCTCACATCATTTATTCTGCCTTCTGACTCCAGCCCTTGCTGATTATGTGAGTACAAATGAACAATTCCACAATGCTGCTCTTTCTGTGTTCCCTGCTTCAGAGATCTCCTTGAATCTTTCATTTTTCTAAAGCCTTGGGGAGAAAATCACTTGAAAGCCTAAGTGTTCTTTCATTTGTTTTTCTAGCATCAACAGACTGAAGTAAGCAAGAAAATCTCCATTAGTGGAGGCTACCAAATTATGACCCTCAATAGGAAATGGCTGGTGGCAAGTATTGAGCAAAAGACCAACCATGAGTACTGGAAAACCATCTGGAACTATGACACAGTGAGTGCAGTCTCTTGTTCAGAGAGCGGCTCATACATCCAGTAAAAACTGTTTTTTACTTTTAAAAATATTTATGAAATTCCAGTGTTAATGATTAAATTCCATGTGGTCAATAACTTCATTTTACAGGGCTTTATGGCAACCAAAGTGCTGCCAGAGAGAGCTTGCTACGTTTCCATAATGAACAGAACAGAGATGCCCAGCTTTGATGCACTTCCCCAGCTGGCTGCAGACATCAGGGTAAGATTGAGAAGGAGCAGCTACTTGGAAAGTTGTACTTAATGCAAAGTGAGACCTTGCTATTTTCAAAACCAACAGGTACTTTAAAGACCAGGTTTCACACCATTAATTCGATATTTTTATCAATTTCAACGACATTTTACAACAATGTAACTTTCAGCTTTTGAAAATTGAAATACCCTTGTTCAGATGCTTCCATTGGCCAATGTTGTAGCTCAGTTAGATTATTCTTAAAATGTTTATGACAACTAGAACTAGGAGTTAAACAGAGCAGGGCACTGATCTTGCTGAATGCTGGTGTTTGATGTTTAGAACCAGAACCGTCCAAGACCCCCTGCAAAGGAGATCACATTCACCCTCATCAGGAGAACCATTCGTGACCTCGAATCATATGGACCAGACATCTTCTCCATGTGCAGAGGGCTCTCAACTTATGTGGGTTATGAAGTTCACGGTGAGTGCAAACAAAGGAATTCTGTCTCTGAGTGAGCTGGCATTTGTTTCCTGGGGGAATGAACAATGCACAATTGCTGCTCTTCCACCTCAAAACCCACAGAAAGCCAGGGCTGCAGCAGCTGCACAAAGAATTTGACATATTTGCAGATCAGGACTGGAACAGGGTGGGGTCACAGCCCCCATAAATGACCCACACCAAACCCTTACAACTTAATGGGGCTTAATTTTGGGCTCAGAGCGTTTTGGCCACACTGAGCTCCCCTGAAATACCCACTCAATAAACATGGTGTTTCTAAGCACCTCTGTCCTTCAGCTCAGAGCTGACTGCTGACTTAACCCAGAGCACTTAACAGCATCTTAGTCTGTCTGGTGGTAATTGTTTTTCTTTCCTTGTTTTTGAAGAACCCCAATCCAATCTCGGATCGTGCCTCAAGCTCGATGTCCTTCAATATCTGGCCCTCACCTACTGCCACAATGATAACTTTGTGTAAATCCTTTCCTGAGCCTCGTGGGATGCTCCAGCAGCAGCCTCGTAGCTGCTGCCCAAATCCAACCCTGCTGGAGTTATTCCCTGGCATTCTTCTTTCAAGAGGTTCCTTCCTGAGGATTGAGTACTGGAACAGATCAGTTGGTGAGCAGAGCTTTCAATTAAATTCCTTCATCATGGAATAACTCCAGCCTGTTTGTCATTACTCTACACTTTTTCATCTAAGAACACCTCCACGAAAATACTTTGCCCCATTTGAGCCCTTTCACTGCTCTTTTCATCCCAGCACAGCCAGAGAGCTGGGCAAGGCACAAACAAGGCAGAACCTTCCCTCCCTGCCTGGGGAAAGATGCTTCACATTAAAAATCTAGGGGGCACAAAAGGCAGATAGAAAGAAGTGAAAAACAATGAATTTCTCTTTTTTTAGAGGAGGGGAAGTCTCCTTTGTGGGATTTACAGAGTAGTTCTGTCCCTAACATAAAGCAAGGCTGGGATTCTTGTTGCTCAAATCTTTGAAAAATTACAGCAGTCCAGGGAAGAAAGAAATCCTCTTGGCCACTGAGTGTCAGCCTCGAGTTGCACAACTGAGATGGAAAAGGCACTCGATCCCACCCAGAGGAGCCTGCAATGCCACAGCCCCAGGAGAGTGCAGTGCTGCCACTTCCAGCTCTGCTGTGCTGAGTGACAGCCCTGGAGACACAGCAGGGACTCCAAGGTGTCTGCAGCGGGCAGGAATTCCTGTGCAGAGATAATTTCATTGTGGGAATAACGCTGGGAGTGTGGGGAGTTTCCACACGGTGCTGTAACAGCTTCCTGAGGTCCCCTGGAAAACAGGGAGTGGGATTTTTAGATTTGACAAAAGCCATTACCCATCAGCCACGTCAGACCCCTGGGAGCCAAAGGGAAACACCCCCAGAGTCACCCAAAGGTGCTCCCAAACCCAAAGGCACCAGCTGGAGCTTGACTTTGCACAGCTGTGTGCAATTAAAACACCTCATTATTGACTAGAACACACTCAGCCTTCCCAAGGTCTCTCACACACAACCTGCAATCTTCATCATGGTTTTGTTTCTGGCATTTTTTGGGGGGTGGGGGGAAAGGGCAGACAAATTCCAACCCCCCTCCTGTGTCCCACGGGAGTGTTGGTGCTGCTCTTACCAGATCATAAATACACAAAAATACACGCTCGAGGATTAGTCCTGAAGGAATTCAGAATTTCAGGATGAAGCTCAGTGTTCCCCTTGGCCAGCAGCTCCCTCCACCTCAGAGCACTCACAGCTCCACCTGATGCTTCATTCCTTGGCTTTTCCCCAAGGAATCCTGGGCCTTGTGTCACCCTGACCCCACAGCTACACAGAGAATCTGATCTCCTCCTCCAGCTTTGCTCAGGGATGTTTTAAAGACAAATGTAATGCTTTGAGCAGTGCAGGGCATTGCATCTCCTGAAACCCCCACTGAAGCTGCTCCACTCACCAGGGGTTGGCACTTAGGGGATTTGGGGTTGTTGGTGTGGCCTGAGGGTCTGGGAGGGAAATTTGGGAGCCCCTGGCACCTCCAATTCAGCTTTTACTGGTACAGGGGCTCCCTCAGAGGGGAATGGTGCTCCTTGTGAGCTCTCCTGTCTGCTTTTGGAGCCTGTGGTGCTGTTTGTGGAAGGAGACAGGGGAGGTGAGTGTAGATGGATTTACATTCCCCTCTCAGTTCCCTTGGAAAGGGAGAGTTTAGGCTTCAGAGGTTGAACTGAGTTTGGTGAGGGTGGTGATTTGGGGCAGGCTTTGATAAGCCCAGGCACTGCTGAGCACTCCTCAGGAGTGAGAAAATGCCAGGCAGGAAACCTGGCATGGCTTTGCACTCCTGTGAAGCTGCCCCAAGAGTCTAAAGGTCTTTAAACTCAGGTGTTGCGAAGGAATTCCTCCCTGTGAGGGTGGGATGGAATTCCCAGAGCAGCTGTGGCTCCCTTGGATCCCTGGCAGTGCCCAAGGCCAGGCTGGACAGGGTTTGGAGCAGCCTGGGACAGCCGGAGGTGTCCCTGCCAGGGCAGGGGTGGGATGGGCTGGGCTTTAGGTCCGTCCTAACTCAGCCTAGGCTGGGATTCCGTGCTGGGAGCGCTCAGTCCCGGCGCAGCTGTGAACGTGCTGCAGTTGCGGCCACGAGATGGCATTCTCTGAGCTTCTCTTGCTAAGGAAAAGCAGAGCTTGCCATCTTTAATAACGACAATAATAATTAAAGGAGGGGGGGGGGGGAAGCCACAAACCCTCCCTGTATTTTCTGAAGTCCGTGACAAAGCGAGATTTGTGAGGAGGCTGCTGCTGCTCCTGGCAAACAATGGTGCTGCTTTCCCAGAGCTGCGAGGGAGACTGAGGGTCAAGTCCCTTTAAAAAAAAAAAAAGAAAAAAAAAAAAAAAGTGAAATACAGTATTGTGCATCTTGAAATCTGAAACCAAGAAACAGAAGTGCGAGGGAAACAAGGGGGAAAAGTCTTGCAATTCCTGTGGACAACTGTTGCGAGTGGAGTTTTAAGGAATACAATATACATCTCTACCTTTTAAAGGCTATTGAATGGCTTTTGTGGAGAAACCTGCGAAATAAAGGAGCCTCGGAAGAAGAGATTTCTTTTTCTCCTCCTCTCTGGATATAATGGCCATTGCAAAGCAAAGCATCTTGAGATTTGGCTTCCAGTGTGCCTTCCTCGCAGTTTTTACCCTCACCTGTGATGGGCACGGCGGGAAGAGGGAGAACGGTGGCCCTGCCTGCTACGGAGGATTCGATTTGTATTTCATCCTGGACAAGTGAGTCAGTCCTGCTTTGTTCTTTCCCACTGAGCTCTTTCCCTGGGCACGGGCTGGTACCGAGGAGGTTTCCTTTGGATTTGGGTTTTGTAGGAGTCACTGTGTCCCCAGGGGACCTCTGCAGCTCCCGACTCTTGCTCTGTTGTTGTTGTGATAACTCTTTAGTAGGTCCCGTGCCTAAATCCCTTTGTTCTTCTGTGATCACATCGTTACAGACTGTCCCAGGGTGGGAGCTTTGTGTGTGCTGAGCTCGAGTGGGCTCTCGAGTTTCTTCAGGCAGTGCCTGGGAGCAGGGCAGCACCCGGGACCCCTCTGCCTTCCCCCCGAGCCGGGGAGCCTGGGGCTCCCCCGAGAGCTGGGGGTGCAGGATTGTTCCTGCAGAGACCAACTCCAGGGCTGGGATGTGCAGGGAGTGCAGAATTATTCCTGCAGGCACTAATTCCAGGGCTTGGGATGTGCAGGATTGTTCCTGCAGAGACCAATTCCAGACCTGGGATGTGCAGGATTGTTCCTGCAAGCACCAATTCCAGGGCTGGGATGTGCAGGGAGTGCAGAATTATTCCTGCAGGCACTAATTCCAGGGCTTGGGATGTGCAGGATTGTTCCTGCAGAGACCAATTCCAGACCTGGGATGTGCAGAATTGCTCCTGCAAGCACCAATTCCAGGGGTTGGGATGTGCAGAATTGTTCCTGCAGGCACCAATTCCAGGGCTGGGATGTGCAGAATTGTTCCTGCAAGCACCAATTCCAGAGCTGGGATGTGCAGAATTGTTCCTGCAAGCACCAATTCCAGGGCTGGGATGTGCAGGGAGTGCAGGATTGTTCCTACACAGACCAATTCCAGGGCTGGGATGTGCAGAATTGTTCCTGCAAGCACCAATTCCAGGGCTGGGATGTGCAGAATTGTTCCTGCAAGCACCAATTCCAGGGCTGGGATGTGCAGGATTGTTCCTGCAAGCACCAATTCCAGGGCTGGGATGTGCAGAATTGTTCCTGCAGGCACCAACTCCAGGGCTGAGAGGAGCAGGGAGCTCTGCTCGTGGCCCCGAGCTGGGTCCCTGCCCCTGTGCCCCCTGAGCAGCTCCAGGTACAAACCAGCCCAGAGAGGGGCTACTCCCCTGGGAGGGGGCTGAACTCAGCTGCTGGGATGGAGAGCAGCTCGAGAGCCTCATTTAAAGAGCTTTCTTTTCCCTAGCTGAGTCACACTTTCTTTGTTTCTTCAGTTAATCAAATGCATATTTTGAGTGTTTAGCTGTTGTTGCTGAAGATAACTTCCTGCCTCACTTTTTCATCACTAATTGTGGCACTGTCACCTCCTTGGCACTGTAGGAGTGCTGCTTTTTGCAGATGTGGATGGAGCAATGTGGAATCATTTTGTGCTGAGCTTTGGAAAGCTACATACCAAAGCAATACAACAATTAAAAAAGAAAAACAAAAACTTTAAAAAATACTAGCTGAAATGGTTGTCCTGGTTTTCTTGATCAAGAGCAGTTCTTTTGAACCAAAGGCTTGGAAATAGTGGAGGTGATGCCTGCCAGAGCCATGGCACTGACATGAACAACCATAAATTTCAGAGACAGGAAAGTATTTGCAAGTTGCCAAAAGCACTCGCAGACAAAGTTTCTGACTGATCCTCTGGAGTGTTTTGCAGTAGCTCCCACATTCCATCAGTGTAAATGACTTGGAATTACATAACCCTTTATTACAAAATACTGGGTAAAACCCAGCACTGAGACACTGGCTGCTTCAGCGTGCCAGTGGTCCTGATGCTCCAGGGGGAAGATTTATTTATTTTATTCAGTGGAAAGATCTACCTGGCTCATTCATTTTCAGTTATTCATTGGAATAACTCTATTGCTACAAAAGGAAAAAGCCTGAACCCAAACAAGCCCAGAGCATGATTTGTGCTGCTTTTGTCAGCTGCATTTCCCTGGAAGCTGAAGCAGGACTGAAGGATTTCTCCCATCTCGTGGATGTGCTGTTACACCTCTGAGCTAATGCAACTCCAGCAGGTCCTTAATTCAAATTCTGTGCTGCTCCCCCAATAAAACCCATGAGTTCTGAGCCTCCCTCACAGGATGATGGATTTGGGTGCAAACACAAGCTTTAAAGCAGGCAGGCTGGCCCCAGTGTAGGTATCAAGGTATCCAACAAAAGCCTGCTCTGACAGCTGCAGAATTCCTGTTCCTGGGATATTTCTGGTGCAGAAATGAACAGGATCTGATGTAAGAATTTCCTTGGAGGAGCACTGTGGCTTTTCAGCTGTTCCTGAGTAAAATGCACCCCTGGACCTGGTTGTTTAACCACTGGTGAGAGATTTACTGTGGTGGAGCTGGTTATCACATTTCCTTTAACCCTTTGATGGAATCACAGCATGGTTTGAGCTGCGAGGTCTCTAAAGCTCATCTGGTTCCACCCCCTGCCCTGGGTGAGGACCCTTCCAGAGACCATGCCTCTTGTCCTTTGATGGCAAAATCCCAAACTGTGTCTATTTTGCTCAATTTAGACTCAAGCTTTATGTTTTTGGAGTCGCTTTATGTTATTTGGAGTACTTTTAAGTTATTTGGAGTAGCTTTAATTTGCTGTTTGGAGGTGCTGCTTGCCCTTTAGAGGAGCTGTTTGCTGTTTAGGGTTGTGTCCTCTTTGCTGTGCTCACCTCTTTGCTGAGCTCCTCAGGGTGAAGGTCACACCAAGACAAGCCCAGTGCTGTGGAATTTAGGCCTGGCTTACTGGCTGGTCCAGGGTGGTCTCTCCTTTTGTGTTCTGTGGTGCTGAGGGGATTTGTGGGCTCAGGCTCCACACGCTGGAGGAGTTGGTGCCAAGGAATTAACACAGGGTGCAAATTCAGGTACAGAACAATGAGGAAAGCAGTGAGATGTTGCTAAAAAGCCCAAACGTTTGCCCTTGCTGACAAATTGTCCATTTTTTGTAAAAATATTCTCAGTGTGATTGATTACTGCTGACTGTGACCACCCCAAGCTGACAGGGTGCCCAAACCTCCCCTCTCCCAGCACAGCTGGAATATTTGGGATTTTCCCAGCATCAGGCCTGCACCCAGAGCAAGGTGTGCATCTGGTTAGGGTGGCAGGAGCTTGCAAGGATGTGGAGGGATGATTTTTCTCTGTTAGCATGAGGGCTGAGGGATGCCAGCAAGGCAGGGTGGAGAAATTTGTGCATTTTTGTGCCTTTCTGCCTGAAGGAACGTAATTAACTCCCAATTCTGCCAAGGGCGGGCAACTGCAGAGAGCTGAGCTCATGTGTGAAATCCCTGCCAGTCAGGACCTGTGGATGTGTTTTTTACCCAGTGATGCCTCTGGGATGAGCATTCCTGGTGAAAGGAATGGGCAGGAGCTCCCTTCCAGCCAGGACCGTGTGTGCCTGCAGCACTCTGCACTTTATCTGCTGATTAATAGAAATGAAGTCATGGCTACTTGTTTATTAGTTGGGTTTTTTTTTGCATACCCCCTGCCAGCCAGGAGGAGAGGAATGTTCTTGGACTGAGGCTGGGCTTGGAGGCTTGTCCTGCTCTGACCTGAGCCCCTGTGGGTCTGTGACCTGCAGGGTTTGGCAGTGAGCTGTCTGGTGTGGAGTGTGGCACGAGATAACAGCGTTTCCTCCAAGGATTGCATCACCTCTCAGAGCCTCTGTGCTCTGGAGGCCTCTCAGAACTGCTCCTGCAGGATCTGGGAAGGCAGAGGATGCTTTGGGGCTCGTTTGTGTTATTTCTGAAGAGCTCAATAAAGAGATGCTGCACAGCTTCTCAGGTAAATGGCATCTCTGAGAGCCACGAGACCTCTGGGAGTTAGTCCAAACCCAGGAAAGCTGAAGGAGATTTTTGGATCAACACCAGCCTCTGAACCAAGTGTCTTCATGTCCTCCTGCCAGCTGCAGAGCACTTCACCCACGTGAGGTCTGGTGTAGGAGTGTGGGCTTCATTCTGTGACCCTTCTGGATGGTGACCTGGATAAACCCACAGCTCCTCCGAGAGGTGCAACAGCAGAAATGGAAAAGTGGAGTCTAAAAAGTGCAAGGAGGACCAAGGCTGGGGAGGCTTGAGCTGCTGCAGCTTTGGGTTCTGGAGCACCTTGTCCCAGTGAGGAGGAGGAGGAGGGCACCTGCTGAAGGGCAGGAGCCACTGCAGTGTCTCTCTCCACACCTGCATTCCCCTTAGGGGTACAAAACTCTGGAGATGGCCACTGAATGTCTCACTCTCTTGTTAAAGAGAATGGTTCACTTGGGTTTAATTTCCATTTATTGGGCCCTTCTCCAGAAGAGATTCTGGCATCCTCAGGATGAGTCTTTTCTTAAATTGCAAGTTTAAAGCATCAGCCATTCAGCTGCAAAGCCCTGGCTCGCTGATCATCCTGTTCCTTCTGGGAATATGAGGAGAGAACTATTTGAAAATTGGCTTTTCTTATCTTACAGTTGGACTTTAGAAATACTCACGCTACTCAGAGTTCTTGGCCTGCCTCACTGTGCAAAGGAAGTGTCTTTTAGAGTGTGGCTGCTGGATGACACAGCTCGGGGAGGTGGGCACTGAGCTGGTGCTGCTTTTGTGAGCTTTGCACTGGCTGCAGAAAGCCTGGTTGTGTTGGTTTTGTCCATTTTTGCTGGTTGTGTTGGTTTGTCCATTTTTCCTGTTTATGTTGGTTTGTCCATTTTTGCCGTTTGTGTTGGTTCTGTCCATTTTTCCTGTTTGTGTTGGTTTTGTCCATTTTTGCTGTTTGTGTTGGTTCTGTCCATTTTTCCTGTTTATGTTGGTTTGTCCATTTTTCCTGGTTATGTTGGTTTGTCCATTTTTGCTGTTTGTGTTGGCTTTGTCCATTTTAGGCCGAGTGAAGAACGTGAGAAGTCAGAAGTGTGATTCAGAAAATGCATTTTATTTACAAGGAGTGTTTTTTCCTAAGTGCAGGCCTGGGAATTTCTGGCCCCTGACAGGAGAGGGAGAAAAGGACTCCAGGCAGGCTGAGCTGTCTGGCCCAGGTGGGAATGGCTGTGCAGGAAGGACAATGTGTGCTCAGCAAAAGAGTGAACCTTCATTTTGGGAGGTGAATGTATGGTCTAAAGTGACATTTGGTTCACTGAAGCAAGGATTAATTGGTTTCTGATTAACCAAGCCTTGCTCTCCGTGTCTTCTGGAGACTGATGTGACCCTTGCTATCAAGTCAAGTGATTTTTATGCCTCATCACCTAAAGACAATAAATATTTCTTTTCCAGGCCAGTTCTAGGAAATTATTTGTGCCTGGAGTGCCTGTGGAATTCAAGCTCTCTGAGTTATCCCATCCATCCAAGGGGAATTTGCACCTGGGGCTGAGCTCTGTCTCTGTTCTCTCAATTTGGGGTTTGCACGCAGCAGGGTTTGAGTTTCCTGTCTGAGAGCAAGTCCTGCTGTGTGTCACCCCTCACCTCTTATGATGCCAATTTTCCCTCTTGACTGGTTTATCAAGAGCTTTGCTCTTTGGTGTTCCTTTGCTCCTCCTTGATAAACATTTGTGTGGGGAGGAAGCCATCGTGCCTCGTCCTGGTCTGAGGAAAGAAAGGAAGGAAGAATTCAGCACTGAGAGCACCTGCTGCTGATGCTGGGTGTCTGGAAGGCACCTTAAACTCATCAAAAGTGATGCTTTTGGGCTCCAGTCCTTTGTGCAGCAAGGCACAGGGTCAGAGGTTTTGCACAGAGCCTGGATTTTTTTGTACCTGAGCAAAGGTCCTCATTTGGGCTGGTGTGTGGTTTTTTTTTTGAAGAGCTCAATAAAGAGATGCTGCACAGCCCCATAGGTAAATGTCATCTCTGCATGGACAGAGGGGGGTCACGCAGGGAAAGGAGCTCCAGGAATTGTGGAGCAGGAGGGAATGGCTGAGAATGGAAAGCAGCTGTGGGGGAAGGGGCAGGAAATGTCTGGGACCCCCAGGATGAGCTCTGCGTGCTCCTCTGCAGGTGCAGCATTTGTTATTATTATTAAATAAATAATAATAAATAGCAATAAACCATGGCATTGCACCCTGTGGTTTATTCCCTGAGCAGCCAGGCTGGGACCTGCTCTGCCTCTCCACTGGCATTAAATAAATCATAATAAATAGCAATAAACCATGGCATTGCACCCTGTGCTTTATTCCCTGAGGCAGACCTGCTCTGCCTCTCCACTGGCATTAAATAAATAATAATAAATAGCAATAAACCATGGCATTGCACCTTGTGGTTTATTCCCTGAGCATCCAGGCTGGGACCTGCTCTGCCTCTCCACTGACACCCCCAGAGCTGAGCCAGCTCAGAGCAGCTCCTTGACCTTTCCTTCCTGGGAAGTGAAAAACCATCTCAAACATTCACCTTTTCTTCCTCAGGCTGCAGATCAGTGAAGTTTCTGTTGAAGCTGGAATGGTTCTTTCCCCTATAAACATTTCTAATTGTACTCAATGAATTGAATAAGTGATGACACATTTATTTTCCAACTCTAGGAAAGAAATTTTTTTCCCAATATTAATATTCCAGCGTTCACAGAAGTGTTTATGCCAGAAGGGGCATTTTGTGCTGAAAGATTCTGATTAACCTAATTTTTTCCTCGTTCTTACAACATAAAGAAGAATAAACCAACCCCATTGCACCCCGTGGTTTATTCTCCTGAGGAGCAAAATTAGTTTGTTTTGTCTTTAACTGAGGTGTGAAAGAATTAACCAGAGCAGCTGAGATGTGGACTAAGGTGTTTTACTTCTCATAGTCTCTGGCACAGTGGAAACACTGGAGGAGTTTAATAATCTGTTCCTCCAACTGCATGTAATTCTCAGAATACACTTGAGCTAAAAGCCCTGTGCAATGGTTTGGAAGTGAGTGGGTGGAATTAATCTAAAACATTGTGCAGAGAGGCAGCTCCTCACTCACAGGGGGTTTATTTGGTTAAGGCTCTGTTAAAGCCCAGCCTAACTGCCCTAAGCTGCTGCCAAGGGCAGCCTCAAAGCCTTGCATGGAGTGGGAATGATTCCTGCTTCTCAAAGTCGAGTAGGAAATGCCAATTCCAGTTTGATCTCCCTGGAGGAAGAGCGGGGGCAGTGGGTGTTGAGCAAAGTGAAGCAATGTGGGACAGAGAAGTGACCCTGTCACCCTTGTGTCCCCAGGTCAGGCAGCGTCCTGCACCACTGGAACGAGATCTATCACTTTGTGGAGCACCTGGCCCGCAAGTTCATCAGGTAAGGAGGGCCCGGGGGGCTCCCAGTGCCTCCCAGTCCCTGCTCTTCCCGTGGGGAATGTGGTGCAGAAAGGGCTCTGGGGCTTTCCTCCCACCCTGCACTGACCCCCCTCCTGCTCTGTGGGCAGTGGGGCAGATGAAATAATTCCATTTATTCCTGCCTGCCTTCCCTGGGTCAGAGCTGGGGGGCAGGAATCCTCCTGTCCCTGAGCTGCAGGAGTTTGGGGCTGCAGGGAGAGCCTGTGGCCGTGGCTTCCAGGCCCTGGAGGAGGAATCCCTGGGGACAGGGCACGGAATGTGTTGTGACAAACACCACGAGCCCTGCCTTGTCTCAGGATGCATTTAACCTTTGCTGCTTTAACAATCCAAGGCTGTGATAGCAGTGTTCTCTGCATCCTTTACAAGGGTTCCCCAAGGTTTCCCTGGGCAAAACACATTTTCATCCTGCTGAGCTGTAACTGGGCTGGCAGGGTGTGATTGTGTCACACACACAGAGCTCTGCTCTGACCACCTCATTAATTCACTTTTTTCTCTCCCCCAGCCCTCAGCTGAGGATGTCCTTCATTGTTTTTTCAACCAGAGGGACAATTCTAATGAGGTTAACAGAAGACAGGTAAGGAGAGGTTTAAAGGTCAACAGCAGCTTCTGTGTCCTTGGAGCTTCCTTCACCCTCCTCAGTGATTTCCATCCCACAGGGAACGTGTTGTGGCACCTCTGTGCTTCCCAACTGCACTGGTAGAGCCCATCCTCACTGCTAAGACCTCTCAGGGCAGAGCAGGGCAGAAGTTCCCTGCTTAATTCCAACTCCTAAAAGTCCTTCAGTCAGGGTTTCAGCTCACACTGGTTTCCTTGAGGGAGCCTGCACTGCCCAGGGATTCAGGATTTTGTCAGAGAAGCAGACTCAGTGCCTGTGCAGCATCCTCTGGGAGTTTCTCCTGCAGATAGGGGAAACTCCCTTCCCATAAAAGCAGGCTTGGAAGGCAGAGGTGACACCCACACTCCTGGCTAGAGGGGAATGTGATTTCCTCGAAGGTCTGAAGGTGTGTCACAGCCAAAGAGAGTTTGGGGTGGATTTTTTGGCAGTACCAGATTGCCTTGTTTGTGAAGCGTGTCCCTGCCACCCCCTTACGGACCCCCAAGTTAATCCCAGGAAAATCCACAGGATGGATTTTTTTTCTTTAATTTTATTATTTTATTCTGACTTCCAAGGAGAGCTGGATGAGGTCCTTAAATCGCTCTCGCTTCCTCTGTTAACTTCATTGCCACGTGGAGCAAAAATATACATCCCACATGTGTGGAGTGTATAAGTCAGCATGTGTTTTACATCTTGGATGTCTGAAATCACATACCAGAGCAGCTGCCATGGGGAGGAAGCTGGCTGCCTTCCTACAGAGCAGTGCACACTCACAGCAGCCTTGAAAATGCCCTTAAACCCAGGCAGCCTGAGCATCTCCTGCCACTTTCTGCAGTGACAGGGATGAAAAGAACAATCCACATTTATTTCATGGCTGCCAAAGCAAAACCTGTTCCCTGCCTCTTGCTGTCCCACCCTGGGAGCAAACCCCGCTGCAGGGATCTCCTTTCTGCTCAGGCTCTGAGACTGAAATGTTCCCCGTGTGGGAATGTATTCCATATTTACCCAGCTGTCCCAGAAATGCTGGCTGGGAGCAGGATTGCTGTGGGATTGCTCTCAGAGCCAGCTGGGTTTTACTGGGGCTGTGCTGGCCTCTCTCACCTGGGAGAGCTTCCCTGTCTCTGTGGGGTGTTTCAGCTGAATTTGAGGGTGCTGAGCATTCCTTTTGGCAAAACTCTAATGGGTCTGGACTGACAAATTTTAATGACTTTGGCTGCGTACTTGAAAATGTCAGTATTAACCTCTCAGAAATAGTTTGGATCACAGGGAATGCTCCATTTTACACCCAGCTTTGGTTTGCCCTGAGAGGAGGAACCTTGTGAGAGTGTCTGACTAGCCTGGGCTCTCACAGGTGGAAAAATGGGTTTTTGGAAGTTTGATAACTCAGGTAAAAGCAGCCTTTGCTCCCCAGGGAGTCTCTGCTGTGCAGACTGAGCAGTGCCAACGCCCTGCAGCAGCCAGCCTCTGAGTGTGAGCTCTGGCTGTGTGAGCACACCAACTGCCCTTTCTGAAGGGGTTAAAAAGTGACTCCTGGCACACCTGTGTGGCCCTGCCCACAGGTTCGAGCAGTTTGCTCAGGTACCCCCCCACACTGCAGGCTTTTATCCTGCTTTGAGGGCTCCTGGTCTTTGCTTGGCTTCCAGAGTTTGGTGTCTGTCACTCAGAGCAACAACAAATCGCTGCCCTGGTCTGCCACTGTGCCTGGCACTCCTGGAAGGAGCTGAACCACACACCCTGAGTCACAGTAATCCCTTGGGAAAGGCTTCAGGCTCCCAGACAGCTGGAGCAGGAGCTGGAGATGCAGCTCCACACAAACTGGAGGTGCCAGCACGCTCTGTGCCATTTTCTGCAGCTGGCTGATGATGTTTGGGTGCTCAAGGCAGCAAACGTGTGAGGAAAGGGAGCCAGGTGCAAGTCAGCTGCTGAGCTTTGAGCAGGGAATATTTATTTAGGAAGAAATGTATGAAATGTGTGGATGTTGCCCTCGGGGATGGTGCTGCTGGGCTGCTTTCCCCAGGCACTGGGAGCACTGGGAGCACAGCTCTGTGTTCCACATCCTCGGGGAGGCTCCCACCCTGTGCAAACACCGGGGTAACTCCTGCTCCCCCTCTGTGCCCTGCGTGCCAGGCACCCCGGGTCCCTCAGCCACCTCTGCTGGCTGCAGGACACCCTGGTGGCTTTCTGCTGGGTGTCACAGCCAGGACACCCTGGTGGCTTTCTGCTGGGTGTCACAGTGCCAGCCAGGACACCCTGGTGGCTTTCTGCTGGGTGTCACAGTGCCAGCCAGGACACCCTGGTGGCTTTCTGCTGGGTGTCACAGCCAGGACACCCTGGTGGCTTTCTGCTGGGTGTCACAGTACCAGGACACACTGGTGGCTTTCTGCTGGGTGTCACAGTGCCAGGACACCCTGGTGGCTTTCTGCTGGGTGTCACAGTGCCAGGACACCCTGGTGGCTTTCTGCTGTCTGTAATAGTGCCAGGACACCCTGGTGGCTTTCTGCTGGGTGTCACAGTGCCAGGCAGGACACCCTGGTGGCTTTCAGTGTCCCTGACAGTGCCTGCCTTCCTTGCAGGGAGCAGATCCGCCAGGGCCTGGAGGAGCTGCAGAAGGTGCTGCCAGGAGGGGACACGTACATGCACGAAGGATTTGAGAGGGTAACTGGGGCAGGCTCTCTGTCCCTCAGGAGCTGTCCAGCACTGGGGATGGGTGGAAATTCCCCGGTGGGTGAGTGGGACCCTGTCCCTTTGCTGCAAGGGCTCCGTGCTGGAGCTGCAAACTCTGCTAATTCTCTTTATTTCTGCCTTTTTCTGCTTAGGGGAAGGCAGTGGCTCTGTGTCCAGGAGGGGTGGGAAGCTCTCAGTCCCACCTGGGCTGAGGGCACAGCTCACACCTGGGGTGGCCAAGTAACTGCAGACCTTATTGCCTTCTCCTCTGGGCAGGTTTTTTATATATTTTACCAGCTCAGGAGTTTCTCTAAAGCTGAGCTCCTGCACTCCCTCCCACCTCTGTCCCACGTGGGATTTGGGAGGGGTTTGGGCTGTTGAAAGTGCTGTCCCACCACTGAAATGACAGAGCAGAGCCTCAGGTGAAAGAGCAGAGCTGTTGGTTTATTTGCAGCTGGAATGATTGATCTGGAGCTTGAGGAATATTTAGCAGTGATGTTTAGGAATATTTGGGAATATTAGCCTAGGGTGTTTCTCAGGGATGAAAGTGGGTAGGGTTTTCAGAGTGGGAGACAGCTCTGGGGCTGGTTTTGGGACCTTGCAGGAATGCAGTCCCAGGCAAGAGCCCTGCTCTGAGAACCAGACAGCAGAGCTGCAGGTGTGACACCCCCACTGCTGCTGTCCCTTCCTTTCTGCTGCACAAATTGTTGTTCACAATTATTATATTCACAATTATCCTGTTGTTGATTTACTGCTGATAATCTTCTGGTCTGATTTCAGGCAAGTGAACAGATTTACTACGAGAATGTTCACGGTGAGAGCCCTTCTTGACCCATTTAATGTTTTTTTTTCCTCTTTCTTTTTGACTGAAAACTTTAACAGATCTAAAATGCAGCTTTGCTGTGGGAAGGGTGGGGTGGCCTCTCTTCTTGCAGGGATGTGATGTTAGTCAGGGAAGTATTGCTGAAAGGGAAAAAGAGCAAGTGGAGCTTTGAGGAGCTGGAATTAAAGTGTTTCAGGCCAAAAGGGGGAAGCCAGGCTGGCTGCAGGTTCCCACCCTCACCAAAATTGGCACCTTACTTTTTCTGGAGGGCTCAGGCAGCCATTTCTTCTTCCTTCTGAAACAAAAATACATGGAGAAGCTGTTAGGTAAAAGATTTTTTTAACCAGCAATTATTAAAACCAGCACTAAGTGCAGACAACTGGAAAAATGTCCTTTCCTTCCCTGTAATTGATGTAAAAACTTTCTGGTTTGGAAGGGAAGGCTGCAAAGGTTTAATGATGTTCCTGAAATGTAGCTCAGGAATCTTGAGGATTTCAGGCCCTTTCCCCACCATCTTTGTGTAAATCCCAACTGAGCTTTTTGTCACAAGCTGAAAAAGCCCCTCTGGATTTCTTGAGCTGAATAAAACCAGGAGCAAATTGCACTGGGTTTTTGATGGCTGCAGTCTCACTCCCTGGCCTGAAGCAGCAGCAGGGCTGTGCCCTGTGGGCAGGATGTTTCCTGGGGTGGTTCAAGCAGCACAGCAAAGGCAGGCACTAAGGAGGTTTGTGTGTTCAGGTTACAGAACTGCCAGTGTCATCATTGCCTTGACAGATGGAGAGCTCCACGAGGATCTATTTTTCTACTCTGAGAGGGAGGTAAGTGACTTGCACTTCGTAGTCAGGGAGACACTGCAATGTCTGGGCTTGCTGCAGAACGCAAAGGATGAGGAAAACCTTTTTTCCCCGGTGAGAAATCTCCACTTTGGTGCTCTGCAGACAGGAATGCAAAGGATAACCACTGACAGCAGCAGCCTCTGACTCACCCCAGCTGAGACTGTTCAGGGAAAGCAGAGGGGTTAAAACTTCCAGTTAAAAATAAACACAGAAGAAGGAATTGTTCACAGCTGAAAAGTTTCAGTGTTTACTGCATTGCTCTGGGAAAATGCTGAATATTTTCACTTTCATTTTTTTTCCCTCTCACACAAAGTCACGACTGCAGAAAAGGGGGTGGTGGCTTCTGTCACATTAAAAAACCTTCAGCTCACCAAGTCTGACATTTCCACAAATATCTCTGAGGTTCAAGCACGCATTCTCAACATCTTATTAAATTAGTGAACTGTGCAAAGTGTCAAACAGAGGGGTGAGCACTGAGAGCTTTGGACATCCTCCCTGCAGAGATGAACAACTGGCACTTGCCAGTCAAACCAGGATGACCTAAACTTGGCAGAGGGAATTTCTGCATGGGTTTGCTATGGACAGAATTTTTCCTCTCAGTCTGTCCAAAGTGCAGCATTAAATCCAATAACAACAAAAAGAATGGGTTTGTGGAGTAAAACCAGCAAACATTCTGAATCTCCAGCTCCTGTCCTTACACTTCATCTCTTTTTATTTCCCTTCTGAAATAAAAAATCCGCAAGAAAAACAAGTTTGCTTTTAGAGGTGAGTGAGCAAGTTGAAAGGTCAGCAGTGTTATATTTGTTTTGTTCTGGGCTGTGGAAGGAGATCCTGAACTTGCTCCGTGAGTTGCTCCAGGTGTTTGGGCTGGAGCTTCCCAGAGTAAAACTGGGATGATGCTTTTCTGCTCAAAAAGCTCTTTGCTGTTGAACTTGCAGTGCTGCAGCCTTCCCACTCAGTCTGACTCACTAGCAGCTCTTCTGGGAAGGAGTTTTCAGTCAGGTCAAGTGTTCTTGTTCTGCTGAAATCCAATTAAATTACTGCACTCGTACCCAGGCATTTGGAGCAACAGTAAATGCAATTTCAGTGAGGCAGCAGGAAAATCAAACCCGTGGCTGCTCTCCCTTCAGCTCAGGGTGCTGTGTGAGCACTGGAGTGATGCAGTTTTGGGGCAGGTGGAATGGAGCCTCTCTCACCTCTGGGTGCCAGGCACACCTGTCTGAAATAACACACAAAAGCATTTTAGGTCACTGTTATGTGGGATGTGCCCTAAACGAGGAAAAGAAAATTGATTCAGCCTGTCTGACGTCTCTTGGGAAGCTGGAGGAGCTAGGAAGGTGAACTAATTAAGTTTTAAAAATCCCCCAAATACCTGGGAGTTGCTTTACTAAACAACAGCAACTCTGGCAGGAGATAAAACCTGGTTTTAGACAATCGAGGAGGAAAACTTTTCAGGTGCTTTTCTGCTAGGCTCCCCCTTTGCTCATTCTACAGAAAAAGGGTGAATTTATGGTTAGGAGCTCTGGGGAAGCCTCACACAGGGCACCATTCATCGCTGGCCAGGGTTTATGTACAAATCACAGATGGGATGGGAGAACACCTCTGGAGCTGTTTTATTTGCCAGCATCAGCCTCATTCCATGGTTATGGCAATGGGAAGATGCCAGCAGCTCACATCCCTGGCAGCAGACACAGAACTCAGTGTTACAACTCGCTTTAAAAGTTTTTTGGACCAATCACACAAAGCAGAAGCACATTGCCAGTGGTTCTACCCAACCGCTATAAGCACGTGTACCTTTGGTTAAAACAATGCTTGTTTGATTTTAATTAATTAAAATTAATTTTAATTAATTTTGAATACAATTCCTGCTTGTGAGCCTTCAAACACAATGCACAGAGCTCCATTATTAAGCTTAGAACTTGCTAATATCTTGCTAGATATACTTTTCTGCAGCTTAGGGAGTTATTCTAGACAAGAGTTAACGCACAGACCGTTGTTCTATTTGTCCTTACTTTCTCCATCTCATATAACTTTTCTGCTGGCAAATCTTACGGCTCCTGCTCAGCTCCAAGTGCAGCTCTGCCATCCCTGAGGCCTGCCCTTTGCAGCTTTCCCAAATCCCTGTGATTTTTGAGGGTTCCCAGGCTGTTGGTGACCGTGCTGTGCCTCCTGTCCCCTGCAGGCCAACCGCTCTCGGGACCTGGGGGCCACCGTGTACTGTGTGGGGGTGAAGGACTTCAACGAGACCCAGGTGAGAGCCTGGCAAAGCCTGCCCCACTCCCTGAACCCCCTGAGCCCCCTACTCAGGCTCCTCCAGGGGTTCCCTCTCCCCCTGTTCCTGTCTGGAGCACCCGGCGTGGCTGGGTCCTGTTGGGTTTGGCCATTTCTGTCTCAATCTGCCCCTCTGCCTGCCCCAGCTGCTCCTGCTAAAAGAGGGGAAAAAAAACCAGGGTAAAGGCACAGGGGGAGCAGCAAATTGTCTGAGCTGGAGGCAGGAAGATGTGGGGGTGTTTTTCCCCATAAAACCCTTCAGCTGCAGTGCAGCTTTTCTTTCAGGGGAAAGCCATGCTGTAAAATCAGCTTCCTTAGTGGGAAATATTGCACAGGGTTTCGTCTGAATTCTAAGTTCCTCATTTGAATATTAGTATGTCCATGAATTCTATTTCACACGGCAACAATTGACATTTTTCTGAATGAGTGGAGCACCTGCACAGCCCCACTGCACGCAGGCAGAGGCTGGAAGACTTTTCCCAGGTTTTTCAGCTTTTAGAAAAGGAGTCAAACCACACTGGGTTTAGAACAACCTCCCTTGGATCAAACCCAGAGACTGGCGTGACCCAAAGTAAGGCACAGGAAAAGCCAAGAGGAGATAAAAACGTCACAGAGACCAGACCTGAAGCAGCAGAGCCCAGACAACTGCTCCTTGAAGGCATTCAGGTGGTGACAAAATGAGCTGGAATGGCATGGCTGTGCCTGCAATCCCAGCAGGGATGAGCTGTGAACATTGATGATGAACTTTCCTAAAGATCATTATCCCCTGGGGTACAGTGAAAGCCACACTCTGTCTTGTCCCCAAGTCCTTTCTGATCCCTGATACGGAGTTTTATAAAGCCAATCATGCTAACAAGACAAACATTTTGCTGCTTAATAAACCACAGTACAGTGGCAATCCAGACAGAGCAGCTGAGCGTTTGAGGGTTTTATTTGCAAGCGAGTTAATCTGGAGAAGTCTTAATTAGCTGCCTGCAGCCTAATTGATCTCACCCTTTGCATTTCTGTTCCTTTTCCTCCCCCTGTGGCAGCTGGCCCGGATTGCTGACAGCAGAGATCATGTCTTCCCTGTCAACGATGGCTTTGAGGCCCTGCAGGGCATCATAGACTCTGTGAGTATTTTCAGTATTTTCACCCCAGTGTTTCACTCTTGGTGTCACCCTGAGGTTTGGTTTTCCTGTGTTTGCCAGAACCTGCTGGAAAATAATTCACTGAATCACTCAGTCCAAGGGAACCTGCCTTGGTCTGGGCTAAAATGCTGCTTTGAGGTACCCAGGTTTCCCTGTTCCCAGTTCCTGTGGTGCCACTGCTCACTAAAACAGCACAGAAGCTGAAAAATACAAAAGTTAAAACTGAAGGCATCAGCTGGCATTTCCTGCAGGGATTGGGAGCAGCATGTGAGAGCTCCAGAGGCTGGGCTGATTTGGGTGCTTCCCCTGGCTCCAAAGGATGGGAAATCCCTCTGTGGGGATTTGTGTGTTCTCATTTTGGGTGACAAAACCCAGATGAGAGCTCCAGCATGGAGCTGGGCAGGGAGCACTCTCTGGGGGGCTCAGATTTCTGTGTTTACTGTGGTCACACACTATTTGGACAATGCAATTCCAGCAAAACCCTTCCCTCAGCACAGGCTCAGTTTTCCCATTGCTCTCACATGGAATGGAACCCAATCCTGGTTTATTGGTTTTCCTGGCACTGCCTGAGCCTGGATCTACTGCCTGAGCTCTCTTGGACAGTCAGGTGCTGCTTGTCATTTCAGAAAGCAGCACAACAACAACAGCAAAGCAATGGTTTGCTTCCCAGCCCTGCATTCCCCCTGCAGCTGTTTTTAATGAATCCCAGCTCTGCCTCCCCTGCCAGTTGTGCTGAGCAGGATTTCAGCCTCCAGGCAAGAGCTGCTCCAGCTGAGTGGGGCAAGATTTCCCAGCTTGGCAAGGAGGGCCACAGGGCAGGGCAGTGCTGGGTCTGTGACCTGAGCCCTGCAGAAGGGAAGTGGTTTTGTGTGTGAAAGGAATGGCAAGAGGGCATGAATCGCTCCAGAGAATAACAAGCAATCTGCAGATTCCTGTTCTAGCTGGAAAATCAGGTCCCTCTTCCCTGCTTTTCTCCCCCTTGCCAAAAGCACCCCTGTGCTGGGAGCAGCTGTGGTCACAGGGAGTGTTAATGGTGGAAGGATGCTGGGATGTGGAAACTTCTCCAGATCCTGTGCAGGAGCTGGCACAGCAAGGATGCAGAGCCCCGTGGAGAGAGGCTGGAGCACAGGATGAGACAGGGGAAGGGAAGCTGCAGCTGGGAGATGAGGCTGGACCAGCTCAGGAGGTGTGCACACCTGGCTCTGCAGGGATTTGGGGCGAGCTGCCCTGGCTCTCCCCTCCTGCCTTGTCTGCCTGGGGTTTTCCTGACCCTCTGTGTGTGCAGGTGGGCTTGGAAGCCCCTCTGGAGCAGGGAGGAGGTGGGAGCTGGGAGTGCTGGCCTCAGCTGTTGGGGTGGTGGGGCTGGGAATGTTCCTGAGCACCTGCCCTTCCCTTGCTGGGGAGCCAGAGGGGCTGAGGGAGCAGCTGCAGATCTGCTCCTGCTGTTCCAGCAGGGACTGACCCCTCCAAGCCCTGGAAAGTGAGAGGAAAATCCAATCCCACGCTGAGATCATGTCTAAAAAACACAATTCTTGAAGTGGGGTATGGTCCTTTCCCTCCCACAGTTCTAATGTGACTTTTTTATGAAGCAAACCAATTTTTTTTTTTCTTCCTCATCATGCAAAAGCCACTGCTGAAACTCCAGCTTCCCCCTGCTAATGATTGAGTGGTTTGAGTTTGTCAGGAGCAGGAGCAGATTTGACTGATTGCTGCAGGCTGGGAAACAAATGCAAGGAACTGAATTATTCTATTGAATTTTCCTTTGCTGTGAAAAAGTTCTGAAAAAGATCACAACCCGTCAATTTAACGCAAATGAAGCAAGTCTTAGAAGAAAACCTGAAATTCAACCTAATCTCCTGTCCAGTAGGGCTTTGGTAGGAGTGCTGGAGGCAAGGAATGTGAGAGTCAGGGTGGGATCCTGTCATCACCTTGCTTTGAGCTGTGACAGGAGCTGGCTGAGGAGCAGCTCTTGGGACAGGAAAATCCTGATTTTTGCTGTGTGTTAAACCATGGCACCAGCCTGGAGCTCATCTCAGGGCTGGAGCCTTGGCCAGGGGTCTGGGAGCTGCAGCTGTGATGGATGAGAAATGAGGCAGCACGAAGGAGTCTGGGACTGGCTCGTGTCTGTATGAATTCAGAAATGGTTCATCCTTTCAGGTTTAACTTCTCTGTGCTCCTTTTGGGTCATCCTTTCAGGTTTAACTTCTCTGTGCTCCTTTTGGGTCATCCTTTCAGGTTTAACCTCTGTCTGTGCTCCTTTTGGGTCATCCTTTCAGGTTTAACTTCTGTCTGTGCTCCTTTTGGGTCATCCTTTCAGGTTTAACTTCTCTGTGCTCCTTTTGGGTCATCCTTTCAGGTTTAACTTCTGTCTGTGCTCCTTTTGGGTCCTCTTGCAGTGGTGCTCAGCTGCTCTCAGTGTTTTCCAGTTCCTGCCTCAGCTCAGGATTGATGTGGCAGCTCAGGAAGTTTTAGCTTGGGAATTCACTGAAATTCTCCTCTTACACAAATGTACTGAATACACTGAATTCTGTTACAGAAATGCACTGAATGCACTGAATTCTCCTCTTACACAAATGCACTGAATTCACTGAATTGTTACAGAAATGTACTGATTTCACTGAATTCTGTTACTGAAATGCACTGAATTCACTGAATTCTGTTACTGAAATGCACTGAATTCACTGAATTCTGTTACACAAATGCACTGAATACACTGAATTCTGTTACATTCACTGAATTCTCCTGCTACACAAGTGTTTCCTGGGGCACACTGTGAGGAACGTGCTGATGGCTTTGTGTGCCCACCCTGAGCTGTCTGTCCAGACCTCACTGGAGCAGGAGCAGGGCTGAGACCCCTGAGTGGGGATAGGGATGAGGGAGTTCATTCCAGGCATTCCTGCAAGTGCAGATTCCCCACAGGACACAGGACATGTTTACCAGCTGATAACCCCCTCTGCACAGTGCTCCTTGTTAATTTTAATGGTGTATGATCAGCTCTCTGCTCCTTTCTTCCCCCAAATGCATCTTTAAGAAGGACCTGAAGGTATTTATTTTACTTATTTCTTTCACTTAGCTCTCGTGGCTGTTACTGGACAGGAAACACTCCATAAATAAATGGCTGGTTTGTAATTGGCAGCAGATTTTGGCCCTCAGTAATTGAACAGAGCTTGCTAATGAGCACCTGGCATCACACTGCAGGTCATTAACACTGACACTAATTAGGCAGCAACCTTCTAGGACACTTCAGCATCCTGTTTGCTGGCTGGAATTCCCAGATTTGGGGGGAAGGATGTCTGAGATGTGCAGGGATCTGGCTGGGTGCTCCCTGTGAGCAGGATGTCGAGTGGAAGCTTCCAGCAGCTGCAGAATTTCACTGCCCTTCTTGCCTTGGGCTCCAAAAGGGCCCAGTGACCTCCTGGGCCTCACCTGGCAGAGAGGGAGGTGAGTCAGGCTCACCTGAAGGCTTTGAATCCTTTTTTTTTGAGTGTCTTGTTTAATGAGGAGGAGACACAAAGGTTTGGGTTTGGTTTTTTTGCAATGGTTCTGCCTTTTGCAGTAATTCTGCCTGGTGTTCACTTTAAGTAAGGGTGTGTGCTTGGAACATTGGAAACTTAATCTAAATCAAAATAAATATTGCCATTGGCACCGTGGAAGTGTTTAAGGGCTGGTTTTATAGTCATGTAAAGGGATTAGACTGGACTGGGAGATCTGCATCCTCCAGTTGAGACACCTGCTCTTGCCCCCTCCCAGCTAGCAGGAATGTTTGTAAATAGCTGAGCAAAGTCATTAATCTCAAATTTAATCATGTGGGGTTTTACTTCATTAAAAAAGTGCTGATTGTATTTTACCTTCTCTGTGTTTTTCCTTATTCTGTCTATTTTAAATTCCTCTATTTTAAATTCTTCTCAGTGCTGTTCTCAGCTGTTGACTTTCTCTTTTTTTCCACTTGACAGTTCCTGTAAAACCTTGTTGCTGCAAACCTCCTCTCTCCTCACCTGTCAGGCTGCCACCAGCTCAGACCATCCTTCAGCCCTCCTTTCTGAGTAAAACTTCCATCTAAATGTTTTAAAACTTCAAACTTCTGTTTAAATGTTTTAAAAAGCAAAGCCTGGCTCTGTGAGTAGCTTTTGCAATTTGAGGCAGGGAGCTGTGACTGTGGAGAAAACAACAACAACAAAAAAAATTCTCTTTTCCTTACAGGGTTTATTGTATCGGTTGCTGTTCATTCCTTACAGATGTTTCAATTTAAAGTTGGGAAAATAGTTTTCGTGCTGGATTTGAGTCACCAAAGGATGCTTGGCTGACATTTGCTTGCCTCTTGGAGCTGAGCTGAGTTTTGCTGGGTGTCCCCTCGAGCAGGGGCTGGGGCTGAGCCCCCCCAGCTCTGGCTGGGCAGGAGGAGCTGGGGCTGCTCTGCAGGGCAGGCAACAGCATAATAAATAATTAATAAATAATAAATAGTAATAAATAAATCCCCTGCCCTGAGAGCCAAGCCTGAGCCAAGCAAATCGCTGCAAAAAGTTCTTAAAGCCAGGGCCAGCCCTCGCAAAGACTCTGCTCTGTTAAGCCTGGCTTAAATGGAGGAGAATTGTCTGTGCTTGGTCTGAGCAGCCTCGGGGATGCCCTCGGGTGAGCTCACATAAATCAGGCTCAAACAGAAATCCCAGCCCCTGGGGTGGGGCTGGAGGGCTCTGTGGGAATTCCTGGGATGATTTAGGGCAAAGCTGAACAGTTCAGCTTAAACTGGAGGTGTTGGAGTGGAGCTTTGGGGGCTGCCCAGGGAGGGCACTGATGGTGTCTCCACAGCCCTGGGAGCACCTGGGGGCTGCAGATAATCACAAATAATTTTAGAATTATTGCAGAATCCAGGGAGGGCACTGATGCAGCCCTGGGAGTGCCTGGGGGCTGCAGATAATCACAAATAATTTTAGAATTATTGCAGAATCCAGGGAGGGCACTGATGCAGCCCTGGGAGCACCTGGGGGCTGCAGATAATCACAAATAATTTTAGAATTATTGCAGAATCCAGGGAGGGCACTGATGGTCTTCACAGCCCTGGGAGTACTTGGGGGCTGCAGATAGTCATAAATAATTTCAGAATTATTGCAGAATCCAGGGAGGGCACTGATGGTGTCCCCAGAGCCCTGGGAGCACCTGGGGGCTGCAGATAATCACAAATAATTTTAGAATTATTGCAGAATCCAGGGAGGGCACTGATGCAGCCCTGGGAGCACCTGGGGGCTGCAGATAATCACAAATAATTTTAGAATTATTGCAGAATCCAGGGAGGGCACTGATGCAGCCCTGGGAGTGCCTGGGGGCTGCAGATAATCACAAATAATTTTAGAATTATTGCAGAATCCAGGGAGAGCACTGATGCAGCCCTGGGAGCACCTGGGGGCTGCAGATAATCACAAATAATTTCAGAATTATTGCAGAATCCAGGGAGGGCACTGATGCAGCCCTGGGAGCACCTGGGGGCTGCAGATAGTCATAAATAATTTTAGAATTATTGCAGAATCCAGGGAGGGCACTGATGCAGCCCTGGGAGCACCTGGGGGCTGCAGATAGTCATAAATAATTTCAGAATTATTGCAGAATCCAGGGAGGGCACTGATGCAGCCCTGGGAGCACCTGGGGGCTGCAGATAGTCATAAATAATTTTAGAATTATTGCAGAATCCAGGGAGGGCACTGATGCAGCCCTGGGAGCACCTGGGGGCTGCAGATAATCACAAATAATTTTAGAATTATTGCAGAATCCAGGGCACAAAGCCCTGGGACAGGGGACAGCCTGGCACCCTGACCTTGGCACAGCTCAAGGAGGGCAGTGCCACCTGCCTGGGGGGTTTAGAGTGGGAATTCAGGAGCTGCCACCAAAGCAGATTGCTCTGCTGGGTTCAAGGTTTGTTTTCGTGGCTGTGTCTCTGTGGAAACAAGGCTGAGGGATTTCACCTTTTGCCTCTTGCAGATTTTGAAGAAGTCCTGCATAGAGATCCTGGCAGCAGAGCCCTCCAGCATCTGTGCAGGGGGTAAGTGTGAGCAAGGCCATGTTCTCCTTGTTGCCTAAAATGCAATTTTCCATCCGTCCCTGATTGCTGATTCACTAATTACCAGGGGCTAAATATTTCACCTTTGTTTTGGGGCGAATTTCTTTCTCACCTCAGTTTGCACTGCCCCCTCCTGCCAAGTGATGTCACATGGGATTTTCTTACAGAAAAGGCCTGAATTCCAAAGTTTTGCATGAATGTTCTCCTGTCAGACCACTCTGCCTTACTTGGCTGTGGATGCTTGAAGTAGATGCACTTGAAAAGATATTTACATACTTACTCAAGTGATAAACAAGGATGCTGCTAGAACACAGATGGCTTAAAATCATCATTTATAACCATCTTTAACACTTTCTGAGGGCTTTGATCTTATCACTGCCACTCCTTGAGCCTGAGTGGAGGGCAGGGTAGGAACAGCTGTGCCCAGAGAGGAAATGCAGAGGGTTTATAAAAGCTGTTTGCATCAGAATTTGGCCAGGGCTTGACAAGAGGAACAATCCTTGGAAAACCCATCAGTTTTTTGGATCCTCAGTTCAGAACCTCCGAGTTTGGGCACACAGTCCTCACCCTTGGCCTGCAGGCAGTGAAATCCCTTTGGGGCTGATGGAAGTGCCACTGGCCACACAAATAATGTGCACTGGTGTCCTTAAAATCCGTGTTTGCAGGCACAGCTGTGACACCTTGGCATTTCACCTTGCTGTGCACATCCCTGAAGGATGCTGGCAGCTTTCTCCTTTTCTTTTTTTCTCTTGTTTGCAAGGAGGGCACATCCCTGAAGGATGCTGTGCACATCCCTGAAGGATGCTGTGCACATCCCTGAAGGATGCTGGCAGCTTTCTCCTTTTCTTTTTTCTCTTGTTTGCAAGGAGGGCACATCCCTGAAGGATGCTGTGCACATCCCTGAAGGATGCTGGCAGCTTTCTCCTTTTCTTTTTTTCTCTTGTTTGCAAGGAGGGCACATCCCTGAAGGATGCTGTGCACATCCCTGAAGGATGCTGGCAGCTTTCTCCTTTTTTTTTTTCTGGTTTGCAAGGAGGGCTCTGTGTCACCCGAGGCTACTCTTGCACTGCTGGCTCGTCCCAGGCCCTGCAGGGATGGATTTCAGCACAGCCATCCCTCTGAAATGGCATTTCTGGGGGATTTGGCCATGCAGGGACACTGGGCTGACATTCCAGCCCCAAGAGGTGCTGCTGATATCTCTGATTTGTGTTCCTTGAGCCCTCATCCCCCAGAGCCTGAGAATTCTGTGATTCCCCTTGGATGTGCAGCAGCACAGAGCTCTTGTGCCCTTCCCAAAAGCTGTCCCCAGCACACAAAGGGCCTGCAGCAGCTTCCCTCGTGTGCTGGGATGGTTTTCAGCTTGGCTGCACACCAGTGGGGCCTGGAAGGGAGCCCAGATTCCAGAAATCTGCTTTTCCTGACAAACGCAGTGTGCAGGCCCTGGGGGAGCTGAGAGGAGATGGGGGCTGTGAAATTCAGAGAGCTGAACCTGCCCAAAAAGGAGGTTCCTTGGTGCTCCCTGGGGGGGTTTTAAATCCGGGGTGCTGTCCCTGATGCTCTGGGGTTATTCCAGTTTTGTGTTCAGGTCCCATTCTCCAGGCAGGCTGAGGATGAGCCCAGTGCCTCTCCCAGAGTCAGAGCTCTGCTTCCTTTGCAGCCACCTGGGAAAGCAGCACTTAAACTTCCCCAAATTATCTCTCACTAGAAGGTTTTTTTTGCCTTTCTTCACCCCAAACTTGCTGCCATTGAAAAGGGACACTGGGGAGGGCAGAGCTCAGTGTCCTGGAAGCTTTGTGCTCCCACTGCAGCCAAGTGTGTCTGTGCTGAATTCTTCCCTGCTTCCAGAAATCCAAGCTGAAATTGGGCATGTCAGGAAAATTAATCCACCAACACCTGGGATTTATGTCCAAAAAGGAGACAGAGGAGTCCTTTTACTTTATTCCAATAAAGGGAGAGGCCATGGGGCATCCCCCTGGGGTCTCTCAGATTTTTGGAGGACTCAGCCTCTTTTTTATCCCCATTTCCCTTCTCTCTTTCCCCATTTCTGAGGTACTTGAGAGGTTCAGAATTCCCAGAACACCTGATACCAGAGATTTCCCTCTAATGTACAACCCTCCCTTTTAATTTTTCATTCTTATGCAATTTAGGTGTTTCCCCCATTGTTTCTTTCATTTTTAATGCCCATTTTCATTTATATTTTTGTAAAAGCAAATCTCTTTTTCCATTCACCAGTCAGTGGAACCCTTCCCATTGCTCCTTTCATCTCTCAGTGCTGCTTTTACCTCCTGTTTTTAAACACAAACCCCTCATTCCTCTCAGGCAGGGAGAGAGCAGAATTCCACTCCCAACAGGTTTGAAATGGTGAAAGAGCCAGTTTTAGCAGCTGTAAACGCCACGAGGCCCCTTCCCTGGCTGCCGTGCATCCCAAATAACCCGGTGCTGTTTTGGCAGAGTCCTTCCAGGTGGTGGTGAGGGGGAATGGCTTTCGCCACGCCCGCAACGTGGACCGGGTGCTCTGCAGCTTCAGGATCAACGACACGCTCACCCTCAGTAAGGAGCACCCCAGCTGCCCCTGCCTTCCCTCTGCTGCCCCCCCTGCCTTGCACCCCTCCTGTGGACCCTCAGACTCCTTGGCTGTGGGAGCAGAGGCTGTGGGGTGGGGGGATTTCCACGTGCAGGGGGCAGGAGGGGTTCTTTGGTAAAAGGGAGATGGGTCAGAGCATCCCTGGCTGGGCTGGGAGCAGGGATCAGTGTGGTTCTATCCTCACCTGAAATTTGGGGGGCTCAGAGCATCCCTGGCGGGGCTGGGAGCAGAGATCAGTGTGGTTCTCTCATTATCTGAAATTTGGGTGCTCAGAGCTGGGAGCAGGGATCAGTGTGGTTCTATCCTCACCTGAAATTTGGGGGGCTCAGAGCATCCCTGGCGGGGCTGGGAGCAGAGATCAGTGTGGTTCTCTCATTATCTGAAATTTGGGTGCTCAGAGCTGGGAGCAGGGATCAGTGTGGTTCTATCCTCACCTGAAATTTGGGGTGCTCAGAGCATCCCTGGCAGGGCTGGGAGCAGGGATCAGTGTGGTTCTATTCTCACCTGAAATTTGGGGGGCTCAGAGCATCCCTGGCTGGGCTGGGAGCAGGGATCAGTGTGGTTCTATCCTCACCTGAAATTTGGGGTGCTCAGAGCATCCCTGGCTGGTCTGTGAGCAGGGATCAGTGTGGTTCTCTCATTATCTGAAATTTGGGGTGCTCAGAGCATCCTCAGAGCTGGGAGCAGGGACCAGGTTTGGTTCTCCCCTCCCCTGTGTTTTGGGGTGCTCAGAGCATCCCCCAGTGCCTGGCTGAGGTGCTCACAGGTTTGGTTCTCTCCCCAGCTGTGTTTTGGGGTGCTCTGTGCCCTGCTCCTGCAGCTCTGCCCAAGCTGGGGTTTGTTCAGAAAATGCCTGGTTGCTTTGGAGGCAGTCCTGACCCTGCTCAGTGTAAAATAAATGCATTCCTTAGCTCTGGAAAGTGCAGATCTCAAGGCTCACTGTGTTTTGGGCACCTGGGTAACTTGTTCCTTGGAGCACGGGGAGTTTGCTGAGGCAAGGCTGGAAATAAATTAGAAATAAATGTAGAAGTGAATACTGTAAAGAATTTCTCCTTGCTTTTATAGCAGTGCATCTCAAGGACAGTTATGATAGATAATTTTTCCTTTCATTTAGTATTTTTTTGGTAGGTGGGGCAGAGAACTGGGGAGGTGCTTTGGCTCATCTGAGGTGACACAACTCAAACCCTCTCCCTGAGAGAGCTGAACCAGGATTTTATGGAAACCTCATGGAGGCTGGAAAGCTCAGCTATCTTTGTTTGCCTCGAACCTCTGTGCCTCTGATTGCATCAGGGAGGGAGGTCTTTTTAAAGATAACACTAAGCCAACAGTTCCTGAAACCTTAAATTATCCCAGATGAGATGCAGTGAGCAGGGCTAGGACGTGCTGAGGTTAAAGGCATGAGCTAATGGGGTTTTATTGGGATTATTGGCAGGGAAAAGGGGCAGGTGAAGAGAGCAGCGACTCGTAATGTTCAGAGCTGTGGGATAAAAAAAAAAAGGGAACATCTGTAGAAAGCATGAGGGATATTTGGCTGAGCAGAGCTGCAATCAGAGGCATGTTCAGCAGCAGGCTGTCCCTGCCAGCAGCAGGAGCTGCAGGATTGGGCTCAGCCTGCACAGGGTTAAAAGTGATTCTCCAGCAGGGACTTGGGCTGCTGCGTGTGCTGAAATGTGTGAGTCTGCCCAGATGTGCAGGAGCCAGCCCGGACTGCTCTGGGCAGAGAGGCTGAGCTCTGTGCTGAGCAGCTGGAAGCTGAACGGGGAGGTGGAAGCACAGCAGGGCAGGGCTGGAGCTGCTGCACTCCTGGTGCTTCCCCAAGCCCATCCTGGGCACAGAGAGGCCTGGCTGTGCTTTGGCCAGGCTTTGGGGCAGGATCCAGCACTGGGGTGGGTGGGACTGCATCCCCAACCAGTGTCTCCTAAAGACTGGCTCCTGATTTAAAGCCTGACAGGTCTTCCCTTTCCCCATCCTCCCTTTGTGCTGGCAGCACAGCTTTTCCTGTGATACCCTCTGTGCTCTCCTGCAGCCCTGCCACTCTCAGCACAGGAATCTTTTGTTTGCAGTTCCAGCCTCTGATTTCCCTGCCTGATCAGACCACAGTAACCCTCCAGTGAATCTTTTTAACTTACTAACTCCTTTCCTTTCCTTTCCTTTCCTTTCCTTTCCTTTCCTTTCCTTTCCTTTCCTTCCCTTCCCTTCCCTTCCCTTCCCTTCCCTTCCCTTTCCCCTTCCCTTTCCCCTTCCCTTTCCCCTTCCCTTTCCCCTTCCCTTTCCCCTTCCCTTTCCCCTTCCCTTTCCCCTTCCCTTTCCCTTTCCTTGTTTTTGTTGTTATTTTTGGGGGGTTTTTTTGAGGCTTGCTCTTAAAGCATCCTGCATACATTGGACCTTTTTTATTATTATGGTTAGGAAATATTCCAAGTGCTGGCTTGCCAGAAGGTTCCACCCTGCTAATGGCATAAGAAATGATTCCCTCTTGCTGGAATAATGGATTTTCCAGGCTGCACTGAGCTGCTCAGGTGCAGGAACACTGAGGATAGAATTGCAGGAGCCTGAGCAGTGTCAGGTACCTGCTTGGAAGGGCACCCACAGAGCCCAGAAGTGTTTTTGTGGGAGGATTGACCCTCCTGCACGCTGCCCAGGCCCCAGGGCTGGCCAGTCTGGGTCATCTGGGGGGGTTTATCCAGCCAGCCCCTCTCTGGGATGCAGAAATCTGTCCTGCAGCAGAGCAGGAGATGAGAAGTGTTGTTTTGTTTGCTTTCCCTGGGTGAGTTTTCAGGCAGGAGTCAGATGGGCCAGAGTTATGCAAACCAAATGGATGCTCCTTTGTTCAGAGCACAGCTCATTTTTGTGGTGAAACACAAAACATTCTCCAAACAAAACTGATCTGTGCCTGCAGCCAGCCTGGCCAGCCTGGAGCTCACCCAGAGCTGATAAACCTTCTAGAGAGGCTTGGACTGATGGCAGTGGGCAGGGAGAGAAAGAGAAACAAAAACCTAAGGAGAGCTGAGTAAAAGGCCTTGCAGGATGAAGCAGCTTTTGTTTTGTGGATGCTGGCACGGAGCAGCCTTTGGCCTCCTCTCCTCAGCAAAGAGAAAACAAGACACTGATCTTCATTTTCTTGGCATGTGTGCACTGAGACAACGTGATAAATTCACGGGGGTTCATGATCTGCTCATAAATCAGGCTGAGGACAGCCCAGTGGGAGCAGAGGTGCCAGCACAGCACAGGCAGGCAGCTGGGACATGGGCTGGGCAGCTCCTGGGGTGCCCCAGTGTCTGCTGGTGCAGCTCTGAGCCCACTCTGCAGAGCAGGAGTAGCACCCAGTGCTCTCCAGGCCTCCTGGTACTTTATCTCATCACTTTTGAAACCAGTGTAATTCAGGCTGGAAGGTGTAGCTGAGGTTCAGATGCTTCTGCCTTAAAGTGCTAAATTTTCCGTAATGTACAGGTATCCTAACTTCTGTAATGTACAGATATCCTAATGTACAGATATCCTAACTTCTGTAATGTACAGATATCCTAAATTCTGTAATGTACATGTATCCTAGTGTACAGATATCCTAAATTCTGTAATGTGCAGATGTCCTAATGTACAGATATCCTAATGTACAGACATCCTAAATTCTGTAATGTACAGACATCCTAATGTACAGACATCCTAATGTACAGATATCCTAAATTCTGTAGTGTACAAATATCCTAAATTCTGTAATGTACAGGTGTCTTAATGTACAGATATCCTAATGTACAGATATCCTAAATTCTGGAATGTACAGATATCCTAACTTGGATATCTCTGTTGCAACTGCACCTGTCCCCCTGCCCAGAGTGGCCCTGTCCTCTGACCTTCCAGAGAGCTCCACACCTTCAGCCCTGCTGTGGCTCACAGATGAGGCAGCTCCTCATCCCCCATCCCATTTATGCATCAATGCAAGGAAAACCCTCACTTAAACTTGCTCTTTGAGGCCTGTGTGAGTGATTTGGCACTAATCCCATCTTTCCCCTCTCCAGATGAGAAGCCTTTCGTGGTGGAGGACACCTACCTGCTGTGCCCAGCACCTGTGCTCAGGGAAGTTGGCATGTACGTTTCTCTGCCCAATGTTCACCCTGCCTTGGGGAGATGGGGCTGGATCTCCTCCCTGAGTTCTGGTTTTCTCCTTGGATCCCAAGCTGCCATGCTCTCATGCTCAGTGCCAGCTGAACTCTCTGGATGGGGCTGGATCTCCTCTCTGAGTTCTGTTTTTCTCCTTGGATCCCATTCGGATCCCAAGCTGCCATCCTCTCATGCTCAGTGCCAGCTGAACTCTCTGCCCATCGGGAGATGGGGCTGGGTCTCCTCCCTGAGTTCTTTTTTTCTCTTTGGTTTTCTGTTTTCTCTTTTCTCTCCAAGCTGCCACCCTCTCGTGCTCGGTGCCAGCTGTGCTCTGGAGCACAGGGAGCAGAGGGAATTTTCTGTACAAGAGGATTTCTGAGCACCCAGGGCGTCAGACAGAGGGCTGGGCATGAGCTGCCCTGACTTTTTTCTGTTTTTTTTCCAGGGAAGCAGCTCTTCAAGTCAGCATGAACGATGGGCTGAGCTTCATCTCCAGCTCTGTCATCATCTCCAGCACGCACTGTGTAAGTTGTGGCTCCTGAAATGCTTCTGGGGGTGGTGGGATTTGACTCCAGGTGTGTGTCCCAGCAGCAGCAGGGCTGCCAGCCTGCCTCTGCCTGCTGTGAAGCACGTGTCCCCCTCAAAGGGGAGTTTGAACATGTGGCAATGTGACATTTTGGGTGGCCAAGCCTTCAGTGAACACCTCAGGCTCCAGGTCTGTGCTGGGACAGGCGATGCCTTGGGAAGGCTGAGCTAAAGCAGAGTTATAGAATAAAGCAGGGATTTATGAAAAGGATCTCCTCAATGGATCCACCTTGGGCAGCACAAGAGCCCAGCCAGGGCTACCCCAAGGTGAACCAAAATGGTCCCAAAATGAACCCAAGGTGAACCAAAATGGTCCCAAAATGAACCCAAGGTGAACCAAAATGGTCCCAAAATGCATGACCTGTCACAGGGTCTGTCACTTTTATAAGTTCTGCTCCATTTGCATATTGCAGTTAATTGTCCAATTATAGCTTTAGGTTACTGTGAAGTCCCATCCTTCTTGTTTTTCTCTCCTCAGCCCATGTTGTTTGTGCTCTTGGGCAAAGATCAGGTTGTCTTGGTCCAAGTTCTCCAGAAATTCCTTCTGCACCAGCAGAGGGTTTGGAAAACGTTCTCAAACCTGGTTGTTCTTCCATTACTCTGTGTCCTGGAATGGTGGGGGGTCCTTGGGCTGCAGGGATTCAAGCAGGCACACATTTCTCACCCACCAGGTCAGCCTGTCCCTGGCCTGTCCCCAGTCTGGCACCGTGGCCCTGACGTTGGGTGGGGGTTTGGATGCCTGGCTCCTGCAGCAGGGACATCTCAGAGAGGTTTAGATCTGGGAGCAGCAGGGTCCTGGCACAGCTCAGGGAGGCTGGCACAGCTGCTGTGGGTTAAAGCTGAGCACCAAGGAGTGGTGCACGTTTGGGCTGGGCAGCATTTGCAGAGCTGATCAGCACTGGAGAATTGCAGAAAATGGGTTTGACCTGGGAGAAGTGTCCCAGCCTGACAGGAGGGGACCTTCTGGAGTTAATAGTGGGGAAACTCCCTGTGTGTCCTTGTGCTGGATGCTCGGAGCTCTTGGAAAGCTCCTGGCAGAGCTGCTCTGAGTCAGCACAGCTGAGAGGAGCAGGAGGACCTGGGTCACGGGCCCTGGAGATCTCTGCAAGTTTGGAGTCAGCTCTAACACCGACATCTGGCACGTTTGGGCTGCAGGAGGGAAGAGCTGCAGGGAAATTGCTCAGACTGCAGTGAAACCTTGCCAGGATTGTGGCTGCCCCATCCCAAGGCCAGGCTGGACAGGGCTTGGAGCAGCCAGGGGCAGTGGCAGGTGTCCCTGCCGTGGCACTGGGTGGGCTTTGAGGTCCCTCCAACCCCAACCCACCCCATGATTCCATGACTGTGTTGTGAGCTCTTCTTCAAATCTTTCTTTAAGCCTTCACCTCAATATTCCGTGGAATGTTACATGAATTTTAACCTGAGTTAAGTGTTTGGTGTAAGTGCAGGGGTCAGAACAAAATGCGTGATGTCAATGATGCCAAACCTGTGAGGGCAAGGAGATCCCAGCCTCTGTGCAGGGAGGTGCTGGGGAGGGCAGGTGCCACCTTCCCTGTGTGAGGAGAGGGGAGAGCTGCACCTGCTCTGACAGCTACATGCCTGTAGTAATAATAATAATAATAATAATAATAATAATAACATCATAATTAACATGGCAGCAAATAGAGAGGGGCCTTGGGGACACAGCTGGGGGCAGGGTGCACGGGGGATGTGTGAGGACAGCTCTGTGTCAGGGGTGTCCCAGGTGTCCCAGGTGTCCCAGGTGTCCCACGCTGTGCTCTCTGTTCTCTCCAGTCCGACGGGACCATCCTGGCCATCGCCTTGCTGATCCTCTTCCTCCTGCTGGCCTTGGCTCTGCTCTGGTGGTTCTGGCCCCTCTGCTGCACCGTGGTAAGTGACACAAATCACCAGCACCAGCAGCATCTCAGTGAGAAATGAAGGGGAGGAGGCAGAGTTGTCCACAGGACTGATCCCAGAGTTTCTGCCACTGCTGCCTCTGCTTTGGGCTCCTGTTTCATCTGCCCAGCCATGGATTAGACCCATGTTGCCAACACCCAAACCTTCTCAGGAGCCTTTCAGCCTTGTGTTTTGGTCACAAAATGGAAATAGTTTGCAGAAATTAATTCATTGCCATGCTTGGTGTGGATTTTCTAACCCATGCTGGAGGGCTCCTGTAGAAGGGCAGGGCTGATCAAGGACTCCCCACACTGGAGTCCTGGTTCTGCCCCGGGTGCAAGGAAAAGCCATTGCTAGGTGTCCAGATTTTTGCAAGATGAGCTGTGTTTCCTGGATCACCGTGCCTGAAAAGCACTTTGAATGTCACAGTGACAGTAGAAGTCTGGCTGTGCTTCCCTGGGCATTGTCTTTCCTCCAGGCCCTTTCACAAAAGTCCAGCAGCACAATCACAGAGTTAAAGCTTTAAAAGGCAGAGAGAAATCGGGATAAAAAACAGGGGAGAAGGGAGGCAAGAAGGAAATCACAGGACTGGAGATGAGCTCTCATCTCCCGTGACTGCTGTGTGTCTGTCCCACCCTGAGCATCCCTGCTGAGCCCTGGCTCTGCCTTTCCCAGCCAGGATCAGGCTGAGGGCTCATTTCTCTGGAGCTCACCATGCAGGGAAGCTCTGCCCTTGTTTTGGGTCTTGTTTGTGCTGCAAATATAGAACAAGAATTAGGGACACACAAATGTCAGCAGGACTGGAGCCTGGGTTTGTGACTGGCTGTGTGTCACCTTGCAGAAGCTGCTTTTGAGGCTGCCCAGACTGGCCCCAGTTTCTGGGTCACCATCATTATTCCTGGTTTTAAATCCCAGACCTGGTGTTGTAAATTTGCACCATGTTGTAGCAAACCTGCAGTGCAGGGCAGGGAGCTTTGCAGCCACACACTGCAGGAGCCACTCTGGGCTGAGATGTGTTATCCAGAGCGAGGATGGAAACCTTGCAGGAAAAAGCTCAGTTGTCTATTTCTGTTCCTGGCTGAAAATGGGGATAAAACGCTTCTCCTCACAGTAGTTTGGCACCTCTGTCCCAGGATGAAAACCAGAATGGAAAAAAATATTTATTTGGACTTTCAGAACAATTAAAAAAAAAAAAAAAACTGGTTCTAAAGTTGGCCAGAGGATTAGCAGCGTGGTAGGTTGCTCAGAGTTATTTGCCTAAACTAGATGGCACGTTCCCAAGGGAGCTGGGCCAGCTTTTTGTTGGCACATCTGCATGGAAGTCAGAGGAGATGTGCCCTGTGCAGACTGGGATCTGGAGCACTGGGAGATAGAGGGAAAGTGCTCTCAGTGCTGCTGCTCGTTTAAGGTTCTGTGAAGCAGAAGGATGAAGCTGGTGAGAAAAAGGCATAAATAAAAGCAGCAGGGCATGAAGGGGATGTGGAGCTGTCATGAGGGCACCATGGCTCTGCTGGAGGGGAATCATGTGAGGACAGTGGTCATGTAACAGCCCTGAGTGTGAAAAATAGTCCAGATAAGCAAGGTGGGTGCAGCAGAGAGAGGGAATCTCTGGTCCACATGAAACTTTAAAAGCTTAATATTTTCCAGATTTAAATTCTCCACTTAAACTGTTTGCTGCGGATAAAAGCTTTTCCTCACTCTCCTCCTTTACCTCCCACGTTCCCTCCTAGCAAGGTCTGCAAGTGGGGACTATCTCACTGATATTTTTCCAATGTAGTCAAACACTTCCCTGTAGCTGTTGGAAAGATTTTATTCCAAGAGGCTGTAGGAAATCTCTTCCACCTCTCTGGGAGGGCATGCAGTGTGTTTGGCAGGGGGTTAGCAGCCAGGATGCCTCCCTGTGCACTGCTCACCCCAAAATGCTGTGAAATCAAAGATAAACCCGTGGAGGAGAGCCCAGCCTGTCAGGGATGGGGACAGGGAGCCCAGCAGAGCTCTGGCTGGTCTGGAAGTGGCACAGAGAGGAATGCAGTGCTGTCAGAAGTGAATTGAGGGCAGAGGAACTGCCTTGCACAACAGCCCAGAGCTCCAACCTCGAATAACCAAACCGCAGACCCGGAGACATCGCCGTGGATTCCAGCCCAGGGACGTCGCCGAGATAATTGGGGATGTGTCAGGGGGAAAAGGGAAAAAAAAAACACAACAAACTCTTCTCTTACCAAGTATAAATCTGTTTCTGAGCGACAAGCACATTTCTAAACCCTGAAATTCCTCTTGGCGTGCTTTTTAATTGAATAGGAGTCATTACTATCCAGCAGTTCTTCAGGAAAGACACTGAGCCAGCTTCATCCCTGGAGTAAATGGACTGGAGTCAACAGACTCACTCTGGAGGTTTATCTGGAGCCCAGTATCTCCTTGGCACTCGTCCATGAAGGAATGCTGTTTCCAAATGTATCCAAGTTTATTGGTCTCAGAAGGATTCTGGGGTGAAGTCTGGAATTCACCACTCGGTTTACAGTAGAGGCAATTGTTGCTTAGTAGATCAGAACAATAATAACTCTTTGCTGTGCCTGATGTACCAGCACAGGCAGAATTCCCCTGGATACCTGTGCAGGATATTACAAAAGCTTGGGAGGCAGGAGGAACCTCTCCAAAGGTTGTAGGAGGTTCATTGAATAACTGAAAACAAAGGAACAATTCTGCTGTGCTGAACTCCCCAGCACTGTGCTCATAACAAGAAGGATAGCAAGAAGGAAACCAGTACACAGACACCTCCAGCGGGGTGACCACACCTTTCCTGAGCTGAGCAGGTCTGCCAGGCAGCAGATCCCAGCTCCTGGCTGCCCCCAGGCACTGCTTGTCCTCCCATCCCTCCTCTTTCCTGAGCCCAGTGCAGACATCCACAGCAGGAGCCGTGTGTGCAGGAGGCTGTTCAGCTGCCCAGGGCTGGAATTGTCCCGGGCAGGAGGCCAGCATGAGCCTCAGGTTTAATGGTGATATAAATCAAATAGCTTTTCGTGTAAGCCAAAGAGATAATAAACCTCCAAAACTGGCTGAAGGAGACACGTTGGGAACGGAGCTGCTTCGAGTGTTTGGATGTACAGTGAAGGCAGAATTAGTGTAATAGCTGGAAGGCTTGGCTGTGCTGGGATGGTCTCCCCTTGCTGGGATGGTCTCCCTTCACTGGGATGGTCTCCCTTCACTGGGATGGTCTCCCCTTGCTGGGATGGTCTCCCCTTGCTGGGATGGTTTCCCTTCACTGGGATGGTTTCCCTTCACTGGGATGGTTTACCTTCACTGGGATGGTCTCTCTCTGCTGAGATGGTCTCCCTTTACTGGGATGGTTACTCTCTCTGCTGGGATGGTCTCCCTCTGCTGGGATGGTCTCCCTTCACTGGGATGGTCTCCCTTCACTGGGATGGTCTCTCTCTCCTGGGATGGTCTCTCTCTCCTGGGATGGTCTCCCTTTGCTGGGATGGTCTCCCTTCACTGGGATGGTCTCCCTTTGCTGGGTTGTTCTCCCTTCACTGGGATGGTCTCCCTTCACTGGGATGGTTTCCCTTCGCTGGGATGGTCTCCCTTTGCTGGGATGGTGCTCCTCCATCACACCTTTGCCTCCCTTGTGCAGCCATCCAGAGTGGCCTGAGGGGCTGGGCTGGGTTATTTGCCCACAAAATCTGCCCCACCTCGCTCATTTTCATACTACAGTGATTTTAGATGCAGGGGTGTGGCTGGCAGATAAATGAGGTGTTGGTATTTGAGCATCTAACAGCAGTTTTTAACTTTAAAGCTGTTTTCTGGAAGTAAGCTTGGAAGAACCCAGCAATCTGTTTGGCTCTCTGTACTGCAGCTGACCAGAAGTTTTGGAAACAAAAAGCTGGATGGAGAAAATACAGAAAATATAGATTAAAACCACATGGCTAAACTGGTGGAAGAGAAGGGGAGGAAATGCATAGGCTCTGCAGAGCTGTAAAATGGCAGGGTCCCTGCTGGCTGGATGGATGGAGATTCCTTACAAAGATCCCTGGATTCTGATTCCCACCCTCTCCCACGAGCACAGCTCCTCTCAGTTGTGCTGCTCTGGGGAGAAGGGAGCACAGCATCACTCAGAAAACTCCCCAGGAGTCAGTGAGTGAGGGCAAGGGCTCCTGTGCACAGCTCCAGGAGGCCACCGTGGTTCTCCTTCGCCCAGAAAAGGCATTTCATTTCTATAAAATTTCATTTCTATAAAATTTCATTTCTGTCTCTAAGGAGAAGATTGTGTTTTATTGCAGCTGAAGAAATTGGGACAGGCCCCTGCTTGTGTTAGCTTTGAAGTCTAGAGCAGATCTCCAAGGAGAAGACACAGAAGATATGACAGAAATAAAAAGGAAATGTTCCTTTACCCAACTCATACCTCAAATATGAAGCAGTCACAGGACTGAGAGGTCAAAACTATAAATATGTAAGGGGAAAAAAAATAGGAAATTAGTCAGATGGATCATGGTTAATGCTATTAAAAATCCTTGTTTATTAAGACAGCAAGAATATATGTTCGGTGTTTTCCAGAGGAGTGAAGGTAATTAAGGACAAAAATAATCTGCCCAGTTAACAGCATGCTTCCAAACTCCAGTCCTAATTAGAGGCAAAGTCCTTTATTTCTTATTTTGTACTGTTTGCTTCGTTTTAAATGATGATCTGTCCCATCCTAAAGCAGATATGCTCCTCTGACAAGAAACATATTGCCCCAATTTATCATCTAAAACTGCAGGGATAGTCTCTGTGGGATTGCTGGACACAGAGCTGGTGGAGATTTCTGGGCTCCCAGGGCGGAAAACATCCCAGACACATTCCTGGAGTATGCAAAATTTGGACTCAGCCTCTGCTTTCTTGTGACTGAATGGCTACAGAAATTTCAGGGCAACAGAAAATTCATCCTTCCCAATGTTTTTAACCTTCCTGGAGGTGGCTAATGGCATTCCTGAGCTTTGCCACTGGGTTATCCATCAGAAACAGCTGCTTCTCCACGGATCTGGAGTTCAGCTAACAGGGACCTGTCCTTCACCTTTGTCCTCAGGTGTTCCTCACCTAGAGAGCAGACCCAGGGCTGAACCTGGAACAGAATCGACAGAGCTAAATGGACAAAATAAGTATTTCTTGCAAGACCTTGAAAGGACACACCTTGGGCAGCACAAGGGCCTGGCCAGGGCTACACCCAGGCTGAGCCCAAGATGGATCCTGGTCATGAGTTTTTACACTTTTATAAGTTTTGGTTCATCTACATCTCGGGTTCGGTTGTCCAATTACAGCTCCAGGTGATGAAGTCTCAGCCCCCTGGCTTACCCCTTTTTCTTTGCTGTTGTTTGTGCTTTTTGGGTAAGGTTGTCTTTGATTCTCCAGCTGTGAGGGGATTGTTTTGTGAAGAGAACCTACTAACACCTAACGTGAAGTTTCAGAGTTACAGCAGAGAAAGCGAGAAGTACAAAAGCTAAAACTGAAAGCATCAAAGCATTGTGTTCTCCTCCCAAACACAGGAGACCCAGCAGTGCCAGGGCTGGCTTGGGCTCACCCAAGGACTGACGGACAAACAGCGCGGCCTTGCCAAGCCAAACCAGGCCGCGCTGGGCCTGGCGCGCTCCCAGCTGCTCCTCCAGCAGCCCCCGGGGCTCGTCTGGCCCCAGGACGAGGTGACCATGTGGGCTGTGTCCTCACAGGGTCCCCGTGATGGCCTTTTGCAGTCTTTTGGGTTGGTTTTTGTTGTGCTGAGCGAGCCTGGGGCCTGTGGGCCTGCTGGGCCCAGTGCTGTGGGACGGCACCAGGGTGCCATTGGCTTCACTGCCTTCCGTGTCCCGGAATGAGGGTCTCAGTCCCCCAGAACAAGGGTCTCAGTGTCCCAAAATGAGCATCTCAGTGCCCCAGAATGAGGGTCTCAGTGTCCCAAAATGAGCATCTCAGTGCCCCAGAACAAGGGTCTCAGTGTCCCAAAATGAGCATCTCAGTGCCCCAGAATGAGGGTCTCAGTGCCCCAAAATGAAGGTTTCAGTGTCCCAAAACAAGGGGCTCAGAGCCCAGAGGATGGGTCTCAGAGCCCCAAAACGAGGGTCTCAGTGCCCCAGAGTAAGGATTTCATGCACACAGAGCTGTAGCTGTAAGAATCCAAAGGAGAGAAGGAAAAGCTTTGTGCTGTTTGAAGGCCTGGGCAGCGAGTCAGAAATGAGAAATTTTTTTTTTGTAAGACTTGAACTTTGAAAGGTCGTTCAGGCTCAAAGGCACATGAGACTGAACTCCCCCATCTCCAGACTTGTCCAAATTAACCAATCCCTGCTGCCAACTTACGGGCAGTTCAGTTGCTCTTAGAAGTGCAAAGCACTCAAAAATGGGAGGAATGTCCTTTTTTCCCCCTCTTGGCCTGTGATAGAAAACACTTGATCTGTTTACAGAAGTCACTCAGTTTGTGTGTACGTGTGTGCCTATGGGAAGGAATGCAAATGTATGGAAAACAGCCATCTCCTCACTTCCAAGTGTGTAATCTGCACTGATACTGGCTGAGAAGTTGTGCTTGGATGCTTAGCTGGACCAAAATTGGATGGCTTATTCTGATTCATTCCAATGTCAATGAGAGGAACTCCACTGGAGCCCAGGGGATGCTGCAGGAGGGAGCCAGGAGGTCCAGCAGGTACATTTTGGATCAGATATCTGAATTTTCTCAGTGTCTGATGGGTTTGTGCTCAGGGATTTGGATCCAAAGGAGGCATATTGGCAAATGCCACCCTTCAAACTGACCGAAATTAATCCAAAAATGTCTCCTGGGTCTTTTGGTGCGTTGCGCGCTCTGTCTTATTTAGTATTTGCTGTGTCTAAGGACACAGAGGAGATGGTGTCTCCATCTTACACCTCTGATGATGCTGATATCCAGCTTTTCCTTTCCTGCAGACAGCTTTTCATCCACTTTGCACAGAATCCCAGAGTTATTCAGGTTGTGAAAGACCTCTGAGGTCACCAAGCTCAGCCTGGGGCTCATCCCCACAGGGCACTGAGTGCCACCTCCAGGGATGGAGACTGCAAACCTCCCTGGGCACACATCCTCATCTGTGTTTCATCATTTTTGGTCAGAGTTTTCATAGTTTCTGGTCACTGTCACAATTTTTTATCATTTTGGGTCATTTTCACAGTTTTCATTGGTTTTGGTCATTGTCACAGTTTTAAGTGGTTTTGGTCATTGTCACAGTTTTCATTGGTTTTGGTCATTATCATAGTTCTCGTAATTTTTGGTCATTTTAAGAGATTTCATAATTTTTGGTCATTTTCATAGCTTTATCACTTTTGGTCATTTTCACAGCTTTCATTGGTTTTGGTCATTTTTCATAGCTTTCACCATTTTTTTATCATTCTCACCATTTTTGCTCATTGTCCCAGTTTCCCCCATTTTTGGTCATTGTCCCAGTTTTGATCATTTTTGCTCATTTTCACGGTTTTCATGGTTTCTGCTCCTTGTCACAGTGTCACTGTGGCCAGGAGCAGGTGGTGGCAGAGCCCAGCACCCTGGGCTGCTCCAGCCCTGTCTCCTCCCCAGCCTGAGGCACATGCTCCTCATTAATGGAGCATTGCATGACTCGTGCTCTGCAGAGCAAAATAAAAACAGTGAGCTCATCACAGGAAGAAAAACACGAGTGAGAGGAATTGCTGTAAATATTTATATCTTCAGGGCCTTTAATGTGATTGAGGTTTTCCCTTTCTGCATTTAAACGGCCAAGCTGTTGCTGGCTGGGACTGTATTTTTATTTTTATTTTCATTTTAATAGTTTTATATTCTATATTTATATTTTATATTTTTATATTTTATATGTTATTTTTATTTTTATATTTAATATTTTTATTTTAATATTTTTGTTTTTTATGTTTATATTTAATATTTTTATTTTCATTTCGATATTTTATTTTTATATTTTACATTCATATTTCATATTTTTACTTTTATATTTTACATGTTATTTTTATTTTTATGTTTTATATTTTTATTTTTTGTTTCTATTTTTATTTTAGGGTGATTTTGAAGCCCACACGTGTGTCCCCCAAGGCAGGGCAGCTCTGCCCTGACAGGCAGCTCAGGACACTCAGTGTCACCTCCCCTGGTGCCTGGGGGTGGCACTGCCATGGCAGGCCACCCTGAGGGGCACCAGGACGTGCCTGCTGTCACTGCCCTCCCCTTGGAAACCTCTGTGTTGCTCTTGGATGCTCTGCTGGCAGCCAGCTGCCTGCCAAGCCCTGGATGCAAAGTTTCTGCATGAAATAATGGCCTCACACCCACAGCAACTGAAATGGTTTCTATGGAGAATATCCTGGAGCAGGCTGCAGCCTCACCCTGCTTGCTTTAGTAGAAACCTCAGTGAGCCATATATCTGTGTATATAATTCTATTTATATTTATATTTAATTTTATATTTATAGCTATATTTATATTTATATCTATATATTTTATTTTTATATTTTATATTTTTATATTTATATTTTTAATATTTATATATTTCGTTTATGGCAGTGAGCTGTATTAACCTGATGATGTGAAGAGCTTTATGAGGTGGCAGAGCCCCCCGGAATGAGAAGGGAGGAATGGTCTAGGGGACAGGCTGGGGGTTATCACTGCTTGGCACCTTCCCCAGGGCATTTTGCTCCTTTTCTTTTGCTTGGTTCAGACTGGAAATGACCTGAGGCAGGATCTGCACACGAGTGCAGAGGGCAGCAGAAGGAGCTGCTGATTTTCTGTGGCCGCTCAGGTGAAGCATCAATGTGAGCCAGCAGCTGCTGGGGTTAGGAGACTCAGGGATATCAGATTTGGGATTTTCTGTGGCCTCACACAGGGCAGAGTCACCCAGTGAGCAGTGTGAGTGTGGGGCTGTCTTTGGGAATGGGTCTGTGGCAGGGCTTTTGCTCCCCCTGTCTTGTATTTTCTGAGACCCCAATCAAGTTGAGGAAATTATAAATCTGACCCCATGTTCTTAGAAAGCTAATATATTATATTATATTATATTATATTATATTATATTATATTATATTATATTATATTATATTATGGAATGCTGTACTAAAACTATACTAAACTAGACTAAAGGATACAGACAGAAAGCTAGAAGATACTACTGAAAACTCTTTCCACAGCCTCGACACAACTTGGCTGTAATTGGCCAATGAGTAAAAACAGTTCACATGGAACCAAAGAAACAATCACCTACCACATTCCAAAGCAGCAAAACACAGGAGAGGCAAACGAGATAATTATTGCTTTCCTTTTTCTCTGTGGCTTCCCAGGAGAGAAATCCTGGCGAAGGGATTTTTCCAGAAAATGTGATGGTGACACCCCTGAGTGACAGAGGCACCCAGAGCCACCCCCTGAGCACAGAGGTGTCCCAGCAGCACATCCTCTTGTTTTCTCCTGTGGATCTGAGTGGTGCTGAAGAACAAAGCATCAATTTATGGTTCTCTTTCTCTTTAATCCTCCTAGATCATCAAGGAGCCTCCCCCACCTCCTGCAGAAGACAGCGAGGTGAGTGACCCTGACCCTTGCTCTGTGTTGAGGACAATGTTTTGTTCAGTCTCCTCAGAAAAAGTGATTAAACCACCCCAGGAAAGCTGATTAAACCATCCCAGAAAAGCTGATTAAATCTGTGGGTTCACAGGTAGGAAAGGACAGCTCAGACAACCCCTCCTCACTTGGCCAGAGCAGCCAGGCTGTGATTCACACAGGGACAGCCCTTCAGCCTGTGTTTAACTCTGAGTTAGTGGAGCCTAAACATGTGCTGAGCTGCCTTCCTGGAAGGGCACGTAATGATTTTGGTGGTTTGGGATCCATAACCAGCCCTGGCAGGAGCGCTGAGCCCTTGGAGCTGTGGGAAAAGGAAGCTCCTGGGCTGTGTGAGGCACATTCAGAGAGATTTAAACCCCCAGCAAAATCCTCTGGACACCAGCAGAGCTGCACAAACCAGGGAGGTTTTAATGGAGAGTAATCCAAAAATGCTAAATCAACACTAAAGCTTCCATCTTAACTCTGCTTACAGGTTTTAGATGAGCCTTGCCACGAAGGGTTAAAGCTGTGCCACCATTCTGAGCTCGCTTTTCCTTCTCCTCTGTGTGTGTGCTCCTGTCTGAGCACACAGTGAGTCCCTGCCCTGCTCCCAGGGTTTTCCCTGCGGGATTTCCCTGCATCCCTGGGCTCTGTGCAGGGCACTCTGATGCCAAGGGGAACTTTTTCCATTTTCTTCACTGGCCTTTGGATCAGTTCCCTTAAGCAGGCAGCAGAACGAGCCTTAGCTCTGTGTCTGGGTGATCTGCTTGGGTAGCTTGCCCTGTTTTCTGCTTCTGGAGACAAATCCAGGGCCTGCTTCAGCTTGCAGGTGGAAAAGCTGGTGAAGTGGGGCTGTCTGCTCCAAGCCTGGCCCAGGGAGAGGGGCTGAGCCAAGGCCAGGAAAGCTCAGGGCTCTGCAAGGAGCAGACTGCAGCCTTGCTTCTCCCTGGAACCTCCACCTTGGGGCACTTCAGACAAGCCTGAAGCAAAATCCAAATGAGGCCATTCCCAGAGCCAGGGGGGCTCACATTGGGACCCTCTCTCTGCAGCCCCATCTCCCTGAGCAGACTTTTGTTTGGGCTGGGTGAAAACCCACCAGCTTTGTCAGCTTCTTGTCCTCTGAATGAAAAGGAAAATATGAACCTCAAATTGCACATGCTTTCTTCTGCATCACACATGCCTCCAGGCCAAGGGATTCAAATTGCTGAAATTAATTAAAAGACATCACTCTGGAATGCTGGCTCCCTGGCCAAGAGCTGGAGGGGGAAATTGCATCCCCTAAGAGGGAAGAGTGTGTCACCTATAAGGAAGTCTTTTGTCAGCCCAGTAAGTGCTGCAAAAGCAGAGCAGTCTCTGCAAAAATCACAGCTGCAGCCTGAAATTCAACTTGTCCAGGCTTTGGTGGTACCTGAGAGGGCTCTGCAGAGTGACTGAAAATTGGCATTCAGCAGGATGTGCTTTCCCTGCTGCCTCACCCGTCCAGGAGGGGATCTGGACATTTTTTGGGTGTTGTTCTCCTCTTTGGGGGCCTGGGCATGGCAGGATTTGGTTACAGCACTCATGGATTGTTGGAGCTCTGATGGCTGAAAACTTGGAGCTTTCTGAATTTAAGGGTGCCCACCCTCAAGTAAACACCTTGTTTGACCTGAGACCTTGGAAAAGGCTTCAAAAATGGAGTGATAGCACAGAAACTGTGTGTGTGTGCAGTTCAGACAATATCATTTTGATATTGCTTTGGCTTGGAAGGGAGCTCACAGCTCATCCCATTCCACCCCCTGGCAGGGCAGGGACACCTCCCAGGCTGCTCCAAGCCCTGTCCAGCCTGGCCTGGGACACTGCCAGGGGTGGCACATCCACCTGCACCATGTGCCAGCTGCTCCAGTGGCACCATTCCACCTGTGCTTCCCACCACAGCACTCCCCCAGCTCAGATAGCCCAGAGCCATTCAGCAGCCAAAGGCTTTTTAAGAAAGGAAAATGTCATTTGTGTTATTTTAGAAGCTGTGCAGCATCAGGGCAGTGCTCAGAAATCAGCTGACTTTTTGCAGCTGTGACTTGCACTGGTTTTTTTCCCCAGACAGAAGAGCTTCCCACTAGTGACAAACTAGCAGCAGCTCTGAAAAATGCATTTTGTGGTGCATTTACTGCTGGAGAGGCTGCTCCACAGAGTGGGACTGACATGGTGTGCTGCATTCTCAGAAGATTGAAGCCTCGAGATTTTCTATTTTGCTCTAAACGAATAGAAGATGGAGTTGATTTTCTGTAATCCATTTTTTTAGGTGTTGCAGCTATCCCCCTCCCCTGCAGGACTCCAGCAGCTGCTCCTCTCCAGCAGGAGGGATTGCTGGTCCCTTCAGCAGCAGGGTTACAGTTGGATTCTTTCCTTCTCACGAAATCCTTGGCCATAAAAGGGAAAGGAAAAAAAAAAAAGAATTCTTGCATCAGCAGGTTTGGGAGCTGAAGGCCACAGGAGGAAGGAGAATGCATTACACTCTAACAAGGAGGGGAAGCAGGCTCTGCTGTCAAAGGTTTCACTGAACTCTGCTTCAGAGGCCCTGTGAGACACTTCAGTGCTGGGGAAGGAAATCAGCCCTGGCCAGAAACTCCCAATTAATTCATTCAGAAGTTGCAAATGTTGTCAGCTCCCGCTGTGCTGCTCGGGGAGCTGGGGATGCTGAGGATGCTGAGGGTGAGGGCCAGGGCAGGACAGCTGCTTTCACTTAGGCCAGCAAGGACTGAGTTAATGCCAAGAGGAAGAGGTGAGTGCCTGGAGGAGGCAGGAGCACCTTTCTGGCCTGGATTAGTCACTGAAGGTGGATCAAAACCACGTTCTTCTACCTGCAGTGAGTAGCAGGGCTGTTTCTAGGGCAGCTGCTTTTCTTGCTGTGCCCCACCACCTTTAGGCTGGGCTTATTGCACAGCTCTGCCCAGCTCAGAGCAGAGGCTCACCACAAGGCTGAAGCTGGTTCTGCTCTAGCTACCCATCCTCAAAACACAGCAAAAACCCCCAGCTGCAGGGCTCTGCAGCTTCCTACAGTTCCCTCTTCACTCCAGGGTTCTGCTGCTGCCAGTCCTGGACAGAGTGGCTGCAGTCAGGGAACCCACAGCTGGATCTGTGCAGGCACCACCTGCTCCCACAGCAGCAATCAGGCACACAGAGCCCCTGGAGCCTGGCAAAGCCAGGCAGGAGATCACCAGGTGCCCACAGCCTGCCCTTTGCTCAGCACTCAGTCCCTTTTTTCCCTGCTGCTGTCACCCAGCATCCACGGCCACCCCTGGCGTGGCACCAGAGCCAAGCCACCAACCAGGCTGTAATGGGATAATTCCCATGTCTGTTCTGCTCTTAGCCACACACAGCACAGAAACACTCACAGGAGGTGCTGGGGCAGCTCTGGCACACACCCTGAGGGGTTTTAGCTGTCCTAAAACCAGCAGGGACAGCAGGGACTGCACTCCCTGCTCAGCTGGATCCTCTCTGGCTGCTGGGCTCTGATCTCTCCCACAGCATCCAGAGGACAGAGAATGCTAAAGGACACCCAGCTGCTTGGAGAGCTGCTGGAATCCTCACTTATTATCATGGGAGGGTCCTTGGAGATCCTTCTGTTCCACCACCTTCCCCCTGTTCAATTACTGCCGTTCATTATTCTTTTCCAAATTGTTTTTCTGGCTCCCTTTGCAGAGCCGTGCTGGGGAGACGGCAGCACCAGCTCCAGGGAAAGGATCTGATGGGAATTTCTGTAGACATCAATTTATTCCTGAAAGGAAGCCAGGTCCCAGAGGTGTGCCAGTGCTTCTCCTTCCCTGTACCCCCTCTTTACAGTGAGCTGTGGAAACATGGGAGGAGAAAAGGAACCTTCCAAGAGACAGGCAAAGAAAAAAGGGGGGGCTGTTACTGGCAACAGGAGAGGTGCAGGTATTACACCATGGGGGGGTGGAGATTCATGGCCAAACTTCAGCTTCATGGCCAAATTTCAGCTTCATGGCCAAACTTCAGCTTCATGGCCAAACTTCAGCTTCATGGCCAAATTTCAGCTTCATGGCCAAATTTCAGCTTCATGGCCAAATTTCAGTTTCATTGCCAAATTTCAGCCTCATGGCCAGTTTCATGTGAAACGTGCAGAGCAGTGCAGGGGCTGTGGGGGTTGGTTTAATCCCATCCTGGTGCTGATTGCCCTGAGCTGATGGGAATTTCACCTTCCTGCAGCTCGGTGTCAGAGCTCTGGAGTGGGAGCAGCTCAAATCCTCCTTTCACCACAAGCAGCCCTTGGAGCCTTCACCTCAGGCAGCACCTCCAAGGATCTGGGCCAGGACAAATGTGGAATTTCTGTGGTGATCCAGGCCACCAAAGGCTGGTCTGAGAAACATTTGTGTCTCGAGGATGAGCTTGTATGAGGCTGAAATTGCTCAGGCTGGAGAGGAGAAGATTCTGGGGAGCCTTTAGAGGCACCAAGCAAAACCTTCCCCAGCAGGAGGGGAACAGCAAAGTGTCCCCAAAGTGGCACAAGGCAGCTGAGAGGTGCCCATGGGATTTGGGAATGGCTCCAGTGGTGGGAGAAGGGGCAGAAAGGAGCCTTGAGGACAGCTGGGTTTGTTCTGTGTTCTCTCAACACTAAAATTCAATGAGAACATCTCTGACACAGAGAAATGATTGTCGTGCCGTGGCTCAGCCCTTGGTGCAGGCAGAGCTCTCCATAAATGCTGAATTCTGACAAAATTCAGGCACTGCAGAGACAACTGGGAAAATAATTATAAGGGTGGGGAGAGGGGTAAGTTGTCCAATTTCTTTTTTTTAATATCTGGCCAAATTTCGTTTGAATTCTTACCCTGAGTGGTTCAGATGTCCCTTGTGGAGCCTGAATTATCCTTGTGTTACCCACAGATGAGGTTCCCTCAGGTCAGGGTCACAGTATCCAGAGCCCAGCCTGGCCTCTGAGATAAACACAGATCTTTGTTTTCTGCAATCCAGCACTTCTGGATCTGGATCCCTGACTGTGAAATGCAACTCTGTCCTGCTTCTTCTTACTTGTTAAAAGAAACTCTAGCTCCATCTAAAGCAGATTTTGGGGGTGGAAAGCTGCCAAGTTCAGTACAGTCAATTTCCAGCATCCTTAAATGCACTTGGATTTTCCGGGGCTGCTTTTGGTGCTGCAGCTGGGTCAGAGCTGGAGCTCCTCAGGTACCAACCCCAGGAGGAAAATCCACCTGAGGCTGGTAGGGAATGAGAATCCATCCCTGGCTCCCAAGCTGGGGTGCTGGGTGAGGGGTTTGGGGGGTTTTTGCCTCCCATTTCCCTGCCCTCCCTCCCTCAGCCAAGGGTGCAGGACGCGGCTGCTGGGGGCTTTTTCTTGTATTGCAAAACCTGCCCTGCCCTTCCAGAGATGTAAACAGGCTCCTTCTGCAGCAAACTTGTGACTCCTTTGTTTGTCAAGTGTGCTGCTGCCTCTCTGTGCGTGTGCTGCTGTCTTGGGCTCCCAGGGCTTTTAAGGCTTTTGGGGAAAAATTTCCTAAACCTTGGTATTTCCTGTTGTGAGAAGTCCAGTCTGTGCTGAGCTGAAGGGAGAGAAAGAGAATTGCTGAAGGAAAATATTTAGATGGCTTTGCTTCCACTTTTTTTTTTTTCTTTTTTTTTTTTTTTTTTTTTTTTTAACAAGAAAAGTCCTCATGGCAAACTTCATGCAGAGATATTGAGTTCTTGGGTTGCAGCAAAGAGCCTCAGCAGCTCTGCCTGGGGCCAGAGAGAGAGGTCAGCTCTAAAGAGAAGAACCTGGTACTTGTGACCAGTTGTTCACCCTTCCCTTGGGTCAGGACACATTTTGCAGCCCAGTTTCTGTGTTTTGATAAACTGAAATTGCTTTTGGTTGCCGTGAAAACCGGAGTTTTTCTTGGCTTTTTTTTTTTTTTCCCCCACCCAGTTTTTCAGTTTTCCTGATGGGGAGTTTCAATTTCAAAGTATTTTTGGCTTTTCCAGTTTTGGAAAGCTCCTAAGTTTTGGAGTTTGGCCAAATCCCTGTGAAAAATTAAAGAAAGAAGAAGAAAAAAGAGAGAGGGACCGTTTTTCTTTTCTCTCCACGTTTTTCACAGGAAATACTTCACGTTTTTGATGAACTCTGCTTTTCTGCTTTGCCAGTTCACAGCCTGAATGTAGAAATTAAAGGGAAAGTCACTATAAGTGTACACTCTGACCTTACAGAGTGCAACAGAGAACTTAAAACACCTTGAATTTCACTGGAGCTTTAGCAGGCTCATTTTAAATAAACTGAAGGGAATTTTCTTGATCTGTTAAGTCACCAATATCTGAATGTCACCAAGGGGTGGCAGAGGTGAAAAATCCCAAAATCTCATTCCTGCTGGAGCTGGCCTGTCCCTTCCAGGTGTGGTGTTTATATTATGAAACATTGTCCTTTCACAAGTGTTCATCCTCTGGAAAAGAACGAGGGACAGACCAGAACCTGGCCTGCCCTGCAAGGACAAGGCAGCCTGGGATTGTTCATTCCCTTCCCATCCCAAAATCTCATTCCTTTCAAAGCCTGTTCATTCCTTCCATCCCTGTTCATTCCTTCCCATCCCTGTTCATCCCTTCCCATCCCTTCCATCCTTGTTTCCTTTCAAACCCTGCTCATTCCTTCCCATCCCTGCTCATTCCTTCCCATCCCAAAATCTCATTCCTTTCAAAGCCTGTTCATTCCCTGTTCATTCCTTCCCATCCCTGCACATTCCTTCCCATCCCTTCCCATCCCTGTTCATTTCTTCCATCCCTGTTCATTCCTTCCATCCCTGTTCATTCCTTCCCATCCCTGTTCATTCACTTCCATCCCTGCTCATTCCTTCCCATCCCTGTTCATTCCCTTCCATTCCTTCCCATCCCTTCCTATCCCTGCTCATTCCCTTCCCATCCCAAAATCTCATTCCTTTCAAAGCCTGTTAATCCCTGCCCATCCCTGCTCATCCCTTCCATCCCTGTTCATTCCCTTCCCATCCCTTCCATCCCTGCTCATTTCTTCCCATCCCAAAATCTCATTCCTTTCAAAGCCTGTTCATTCACTTCCATCCCTTCTTATTCCTTCCCATCCCTTTCCATCCCTGCTCATTCCTTTCCATCCCTTCCCATCCTTCTCATCCTTCCCATCCCTTCCCATCCCTTCCATCCCTTCCCATTCCCCCTGACAGTGCCACCCCTGCTGCTGTTTTGCAGGAGGAAGATGATGATGGGCTGCCAAAGAAGAAGTGGCCAACAGTGGATGCCTCTTACTATGGAGGGCGAGGAGTGGGCGGCATCAAACGGATGGAGGTGAGGAAATCAGGGCTCAGGTCTGGGCACAGCCCCCCAGCAGGGCACTCAGGAGACAGGCACAAACTTCTTGAGGTTTTTAGGAGTGCAGGTCATTTTTGTGTGGGAATAGTTGAGAGGCCAACACAGATTTCTGGAGTTTAGCAACGTCCTGGTCCGTGCCTGGGACACAGGGCAGCACTGCCACACAATTTACCAGGAGATGGTTTTAGTTCTCCTGAAAAGTTCCCCACTCCCACATTTCTCATAAACCACCACAAAGGACAAGCTCAGAATTTGGGCTGCAGTCTAGAAACAAACCTCCCAGACTGGGCATTGCTGTTCAGCTGGGGACACCCAGAGGCAGGGCTGTTCCTGCAGCAGGGGTGGCACAGCCTGACCCTGACCCTGTCCCTGATCCTGACCTTGATCAAGATCCTGACCCTGACCCTGATCAAGATCCTGATCCTGACCCTGATGCTGACCCTGATCCTGATCCTGTCCCTGACCCTGATCCTCATCCTGATCCTGATCCAGATCCTGACGCTGACCCTGATCCTTATCCTGTCCCTGACCCTGACCCCGATCCTGACCCTGACCCTGACCCTGACCCCAATCCTGTCCCTGACCCTGATCCTGACCCTCATCCTGACCCTGACCCCGATCCTGATCCTGATCCTGACCCCGTCCCTGACCCCGACCCTGATCCTGATCCTGTCCCTGACCCTGACCCTGACCCCGATCCTGATCCTGATCCTGACCCTGTCCCTGACCCTGACCCCGACCCCAATCCTGATCACAGGACAATCCCAGCTCCAGTGGGGAGTGCAGCACACCCCAAACCCACAGGGAAATCCCACAGGACAATCCCAGCTCTGAGGGGAGTGCAGCACACCCCAAACCCACAGGGAAATCCCAGTTCCCAGTGGGGAATTCAGCCCACCCCAACCCCACAGGGCTGCCCCATGTCCCCAAAATGAGCTGTCATTTTGCATCAGTGCCCTTGGAAAACACCCCAGGCCCACCTGGGAGGTTCTGCTGGCTCCTGGAAATGAGCTCATCCAGCCAAGACACAGCACAGTGGGGTTTTTTGCAGCTGAGCTGGCAGAAATGCTGATTTTGGGACAAAGAGCCCCAAATAGCTGCTCAGGCAGGGTGCAGCCCCCTGAGCTCATTCCTGGAGAGTTGGGTCCCTTCCCACAGAAGGTTCTGCTGAGTTTCTCCCCTTCCCCCTCTGCTGCTGCTGGATCCCAGTGCCAGGAAACCCTCAGTGAATTTTCAGGGTTTGTTCTGCATGCTGGAAATCAGCTCTGAAAAGAGGAATGGGGTTTGTTGCAGATCTGTGTCCAGGATGGAAATTCTCCAAAGCTCAAGAGAGGCCTGGAGAGAGGATTCAGTGTATGTAGGGCTGAGGTTCAGTTCTGACTCTGGAACAGCTTTTGCTTCATAACAACCAGAATTCTGTTACAATGGTGCCTACAAGTATTAGCAGCATCTCATGGGTGATATTCTTAATTCCTTTAGAAGCCTCTCTCTTATCTACCATTCCAATTGTGTACAGGACAGGATCAGTTCCAACCCAAAATTCTGCAAAATTCAAATACTCCCAAAACCTTGCAGTGTTCCACAGCTGGATAGCATTTAGCAGCCTGGAGAAGAATTTACCTAATTATTAATTGCCACCACACCCTTTACTGAGCTGCACCCAGCAAGAGGATGGAGACAGGATAACTCCAACCCTTCCCTCGTGGGCAGCCAGCAGCACTCAGCAAACCCAGCAGGATCATTCCTGAGGAGCAGGAATGCTGCTGCTCTCCCTGGGCAGTGAGGAATGAGCAAAACTGGCAAAATCCATGCTCAGTCTTGGCAGGGAGCCGTGTCCTGGAGGTGTGAGCACAGAAGATGGATGTGCAGGGAAGGTGGGAACAGCCTGGGACCCTCAGCCAGGGCAGCACTGGCTGGGATCCATCCTGCATTTTAAAACAACACAGCACTGCTTGGGGGGATACTTCCCAGAGCTCACCCACTGAAATGTCTCCTGATGGTCCCCCTGAATTTTCCCTCATGCCCACGCTCCCAGAGCACTGTGGATAAAGCAGATGTTGAATTTCCACCCCTCCCTGGGCTGGGTGAAGCACCCCTTGGGAAGCAGATAAACATGGCTGTGACAAACTGCTTTAAAAAAAAAAAAATCATGGGTGGAGGAGAAGGGCAAGGAATTGAACTTCAGGAGCAAGGGTGCTGGAACCTGGTGAAGAGCCAGGAAATTCACATTTTAGGACCAGTCATCTTGCTGGTCACAGGCCCCCTCTTCTCCACACAGCACTGCCCCTACTTAGAATATTCTGCCTTTTATGATGGAGTTCTTCTTCTCTCTATTTTTCAGTCTTCCCAGAGTCATGTCTGTAAGTAGGTAGACAGCTGAGAGTGGATAGATTGCTTTTTTTTTTAAAATGCTCCAGAGATTTATTTGCTACCAAATGTGTCTACTGACACTTAACAGATTGGGGTTATTATTGTTGTTATTCTGATTTGCTGCTGTTGCTCCTCAGCACGGTGCCAACTGGATTATCCTGCTTTTAAAATGTCATTTCAGCTGTCTGAAAAGCCAGGGCAGATAATCCCAGGGGAATGACAAATCTGAAAACTTCCTAAGGACCTCACCAAACCCTCGGTTCAGCTGACAGGGAGGGGCAGCACAAAACGTGGATGGAAGTGAATCAGAGTCCCAGGATCATTAATTTTGGATAAGCTCTGCAGGATCCTCATCCACCACCACGTTCCCCGTGAAACCACAGCCCTGAGTGCCACTGCCACAGGTTTTTTAGGAATGGGGACACCACCACTGCCCTGGGCAGCCTGGGCCAGGCCTTTCCAGGCTTGCAGTGAAGGAATTCTTCCCACCACCCAACCTGAACCTCCCCAGGCACAACCTGAGGCCGTTTCCTCTCATCCTTGTTACTGGAACAAGAGGCTGAGCCCAGCCTGAGGCTGGAGCAACCAGTGGTGCTCTCCAGGGAGAGCTCAGGAGGATCCCAGGTGGATCCCAGGAGGATCCCAGGTGGATCCCAGCCACTCCAGCACTGCCTGGCCGTGTGGCCCTGGCACTTCTCCAGCCCCTGTCCCTCCTGTCTGTGTCCCCAGAGCTGCTGTGGCCAGCTGGGCTCACAGACAGCTCCAAAGGTGCCTGTGCCTGAGCCCAGCAGGTCCCAGGAGCACCGAGGTAACTCAGGGTCAGTGCAGGGCTGAGTTCACCCTGAACTCAGAGGAAATTCCAGGGCTGGAGCCGTGCACTCCTCCATCTGTCATCTGCCCTGTGTTTCTTCTCTCTGGGCTTCAGATCTAGCAGGACTCGAGGCTTTTTTTGCCTTCAGACCTTGGGGTTTTTTTTTTTTCATCCAAGTGACCTCGTGCTGGAGCTGTGGAGCAGTTCCAGACACGGAGACACAGCCCATCCGTGGAGAGCAAGGAGGGTTTCTGCTTCCAGACAAAGCCTTGCCATTCCATTTCTTCAGCCATCATCCTTTCCATGATGCACACTCCCTCTCTTCCACCCAGATGTCTCAGAGGCTCCCAAAGATGGAGCTCTTGGCTTTCCCCAAGAAATCATGGTAGGCTCTTGGAAATTGGGACTGCAGAGTGAAAAGGAATGTTTTATTTTTTTTTAGTTTGTTCCATGGAAAGTTGTCGCTTTGCCTCTGCTTTCCTAAAGGAGAAATGGAAGAAAAAGGTGCTTATTTCTAAAGCTGTCAGGGTGGACAGGAGATCAAGAGCTTCAAGCAGCTCTGCTGCAGAGGAAAGATGGATTGGAGCAGGAGGGATGGTTTCCCTCAGCTCCGAGGAGTTCTGTGTCCAAATGCAGAAGGATCTGACAGAGAAGTTTCTTGCTCCTTCCTCTGAGAATCCCAGACTTTCCTGGCTCTCACCTTGGGAAGCCTTTCCCCCACATCCTCTGGACACGAGTTCCATGCAGTCATTCCACGTGTCTGCCTCCAGCCGCGTGTCCCTGCGAGCCCCAGGCCAGCTCTGCACCTTTGGCTGAGCAGCAGGAATCGAGATTCCCGAGGGGATTGTGGCCCTGGATCCCTGGGAAGGGAAGAGGAGGGCTCTGCCCCACAAAAGGAGTCTTGGTTCAACACCTGGGGTCACACAGAGCTCCCAAACACCCCCAGTGTCAGCTCTGGCCTCACACATCGGGCTTCCCACACCCCGAGCAGGAGAACCCAGCTCACATTTCCACCCATTAATCCTTAATTTCCACCATTAAGTGTCCCAGGACACTTCCACCTGACATTCCTACCCTCAGCAGAGTTTTGCAGTCCTCGTTTCCAGGGAGGAGTGGAAATGGGGAATCCAGGAGCTCCTGGATCCAGCCAGGAGCTCGGGTTTGATGCTCTCACCTGCAGAAAACAGGTGTGCACCAAGGGATAACTCTGTGCATTCTCAGAGTGCCTTATCTCTGCAGGTACAGTGAATTTTGCTGGCAGGGGTTGTGCTCGTGGTTCTGCTCCAATATCCCAGCACTCAGAGCACTGGGAATTCTTCACAGACCAAGCATCAGATGAAGAGAGTTGGATCAAATCAATAATCATGGGAATGTTAATAAATACTGCCTGTTGTACAGGCAGGAATTCTGTTTCTCCAGAAAACAGAAATCCCACAAATCCCAGAAATCCCAGAAATTCCTACAAATCTCAGGGTATTGAGTTCTTCACAGACCAAGCATCAGATGAAGAGGGTTGGATCAAATCAATAATCTTGACTCTTGAGCCAGAACCCCAGCGGTGTCTGTGAGAGAGAGCCTTGTCCCCCAGCCTGTCCTGGGCCCAGCCTGGGGGTCTGGGGGCTGCTCCTGGCCCAGAGGATCCAAACCCCAATGTTTTGTCCTTGCAGGGGAAGCTGGATGCTCTCTGGGTCCTGCTGAGGAAGGGCTACGACCGCGTGTCCGTGATGCGTCCCCAGCCCGGAGACAAGGTACCGAGCCTTGCAGCACAGCCCTCTGTGCCCAGGGACAGATTCTGTCCCCTCTGTCCCCTCTGCCACCTCCGGGGGTGTGGCACAGTGAGGGACATTCCTGCGTGTTTTAGCAGCACCTGAGGCAAGGGCTGGAGCTGCGGCAGGGGAGGGGCAGGCTGGCTACCAGGATATTTGGGATTCTGGCATTTTTCGTTGTTAAATCACCCAACTTCATCCCAGTGCTGCAGGGGACCGGGTCACCCACCGCCCTCACCCCCGGAGGGCTGGGCTCTGCTTTGTGTCCCAGAGCAGCTCCAGGCTGCTCAGCTCTGTTCCAGGGTGGATTTCTGAGTGAACACCTCGAGTTTTCCAGCAACAAAGCAGCAGGTGCCCAGTGCCAGCCCTGGACAAGCTGGGGGTATGCCCTGGGAATGAGAGAATCAGGGATTAGCAGGGCACCCCAGAGGAACCAGGGATTAGCAGGGCACCCAGAGGAACCAGGGGTTGGCAGGGCATCCAGAGGAACCAGAGATTGGCAGGGCACCCCAGAGGAACCAGGAGTTGGCAGGGCACCCCAGAGGAACCAGGGATTAGCAGGGCACCCAGAGGAACCAGGGATTAGCAGGGCACCCCAGAGGAACCAGGGTTGGCAGAGCATCCCACAGGAACCAGGGATTAGCAGGACACCCAAGAGGAACCAGGGTTGGCAGGGCACCCCAGGGGAACCAGGGGTTGGTAGAGCATCCCACAGGAACCAGGGATTAGCAGAGCACCCAGAGGAACCAGCAGCCCCAGAAGGAGCCCCCAGATCGTGGTGGAACCTTCTCAGGCTGGATAAATGCCCAAAGCCCTGCAGGCAGCACGTGTGGGTAGTAAAGAGGAGCTTGGGGTTTGCAGCAGGAGCCTCTGAGCACAGGAGCTGTTTGACAGCAGTCTGTGCCTCCTTCTTTCCCCTCTCTTTCCCGAGGAAGGGAAGCAGCTTTCAGACTCAGTGCTGTCGAATGGGCTCCTTAATTCACCCCCTGATGGAGATAAAATAGTGAAGCCAGATGAAAAATAACTGAAAGGCATTTCTGTTTGCTTTGGAGCCTGGGATGGAGCTGGGCTGAGTCCCAGGCTTACATCATTCCCATATAGAAGCAATCCCTTGCTGAAATCAGGGACTTTATCCCCTCCAGCACACGAGCTGGGCTGCTCAGGAGATTCCTTGCACAGAATGAAGCACGGGTTCCACCTCAAGCCCTGAGCTGGGTTTTGCTGCTGTGAGCTGTTTTATCTGCTGCAGCTCCCAGGGGTCCCTGGGGTCCCTGGGGCTGCCAGGACAGACGTGCCCAACCCCAGGGGAGGAATTGGGATGGAAGATTTCAGCTCTCCTGCTCCCTCTGCCTGCTCAGGTCCCTCTCAGGAAGGTGGGGAAGGCCAGGTAGTGCTGATGGATTGATGAGGAACATCACAAAGCACCCCTGCAAAGTTTCCCTCTCAGCCTGGGAAATCCCTGGCTGCTGCCTAGTTGGGAATCCAGAGCCTGGTTCAGAAATTCCAGGAAATTCAGATATCAGGCAATCGTGTGATTTCAGTGGTGGAGGAACAAGCAGAAACCAGGAGCTGGGATTTCAAATCCCCTTTTCAGACCTGAGAGCAGAACCAGCTCAGCCCAAGGTGTCCCTGCAGACCCAGAGGGTCCCAGCAGTGCCAAGGAGCTGCTGTGTGACCCATCCCTGCAGCCCAGCCTGCTCCTGACAGAGCCTGGAGCAACCCCCAGCCTTTCCACACTTTCTGCTGCCGTTGCTTTTCCGTTCACAGCCGTGGAAAAGTTAACCTAAACATGAGCTCTTTTTCCTGGAACTGGCAGCTCCCAAGCCAGCAGCCTGGGATCTGCTCCTGCAGGGGATGGAGGAGCTCCTCAAGGCTCCAGCCACACCTGGCCCAGGGCAGCATTTGTCCCAGACAGGGCTGAAAGCTGTGCCTTTAATATTGACGTCAGAAGCTGAGGCAAACCCAGCCCCAGGGACTGTGGGGATGGGAATTGTTCCTCCCCAAAAGATGTGGGAATTGTTCCTCACCAAAAAATGTGGGAATTATTCCTGACCAAACTTTGTAGGAATTATTCCTGACCAAACTTTATAGGAATTATTCCTGACCAAACTTTGTAGGAATTATTCCTGACCAAACTTTGTAGGAATTATTCCTGACAAACTCTGTGGGAATTATTCCTGACCAAACTTTTGGGAATTATTCCTGACCAAACTTTGTGGGAATTATTCCTCACCAAAAGCTGTAGGAATTACTCCCCACCAAAAGCTGTGGGAATTATTCCTCACCACACTTCACAGGAATTATTCCTGACAAACTCTGTGGGAATTATTCCTCCCCAAAAGCTGCGTGAGGTTCCAGCTTGGCTGAGGTTTTTTTGGGATCCAGCCTGGCTGAGGGTTTTTTTTGGGATCCAGCCCCAGGTGAGAAGTTCCAGCCTGGCACTTCTCTGCCTGTAGAACCTCAGATTTGGGTGAGACTGAGCTCAGCCCCTGCTGTTTGGGTGTAGACCCCCAGATTTGGGTGCTCCCAAACCCAGCCCCTCCTGTTTGGGTGTAGACCCCCAGATTTGGGTGAGACTGAACCCAGCCCCTCCTGTTGGGCTGTAGAACCCCAGATTTGGGTGCTCCCAAACCCAGCCCCTCCTGTTGGGCTGTAGAACCCCAGATTTGGGTGCTCCCAAACCCAGCCCCTCCTGTTGGGCTGTAGAACCCCAGATTTGGGTGAGAGCCCAAACCCAGCCCCTCCTGTTGGGCTGTAGAACCTCAGATTTGGGTGCTCCCAAACCCAGCCCCTCCTGTTGGGCTGTAGAACCCCAGATTTGGGTGAGAGCCCAAACCCAGTCCCTCCTGTTTGGGTGTAGACCCCCAGATTTGGGTGACCAAAAGCTGTAGGAATTACTCCCCACCAAAAGCTGTGGGAATTATTCCTCACCACACTTCACAGGAATTATTCCTGACAAACTCTGTGGGAATTATTCCTCCCCAAAAGCTGCGTGAGGTTCCAGCTTGGCTGAGGTTTTTTTGGGATCCAGCCTGGCTGAGGGTTTTTTTTGGGATCCAGCCCCAGGTGAGAAGTTCCAGCCTGGCACTTCTCTGCCTGTAGAACCCCAGATTTGGGTGAGAGACCAAACCCAGCCTCTCCTGTTGGGCTGTAGAACCCCAGATTTGGGTGCTCCCAAACCCAGCCCCTCCTGTTGGGCTGTAGAACCCCAGATTTGGGTGAGAGCCCAAACCCAGCCCCTCCTGTTGGGCTGTAGAACCTCAGATTTGGGTGAGACCAAACCCAGTCCCTCCTGTTTGGGTGTAGACCCCCAGATTTGGGTGCTCCCCAACCCAGCCCCTCCGTTTGGCTCACCCTGAGCTGGGTGCATCTCGAGGCCCTGTGAAATGTCTGATTTTGTTTTCCCCAGAGGAGCTTTCCTGTCCCAGCCAGGCTGAGCTCAGCTGGGCCAGGAGCCCTTTTCCCTCTCAGGCAGATGTTCCTCCCCATGCACAGCTGGCAGAGCTCTGGGGAGGAGCTCTGGACACCTCTGTGTCCCTTCCAGAGCAGCTCCTGCCATCCCTGCCTGGGGACAGCTGCAGAGCTGTGCACGGGGTTAAAAACCTGCCAGAACCCCCAACAAATCTGCTGCAGCCCCCAGGGGCTCCGTGGTCCATTTGGCTTTTTTTTTTTTTTTTTTCACCAGGAAAAAACATTTGCTTTGGGAGAGGAAAGAGTAAAACAGAAAATAAGCTCATGCTCACCCAGTCCAAAAATAAAGAATGGGTCCAGAAATCCTCTGGTGCCTTTTGGGATGATTTCATATCTGAAGGAATGAATCCATAATACAGTAATGCTGATTTTGACATTTGAGTATTTACAGTGGGATCTTTTGCAGGTGGAACTTGTGAGAAAAAAATTTAAAAAAGAAAGAAAATAATAGCTCAGAGGGCAAAGGTTTTGTTTAAAACTGTACAACAAACTGTAGCTTAGCACCAAAGAACAAGAAAAGCAAAAAGTTTCTTGGCTCCTCGGGAGCACTGGGATGTGGAGATGTCCTGGTGAGGAATGGATGCACTTCAGGAAAAGTTCTGAGCAGGAAAATGCCTCAGTTAGAGAAAGCTTCCCTTGAGCCTGGGAAATGGGTGGGAGGGGAGGTCCCAGCTGGGACGTGGTGGGGGACAGGGTGGGATGGGGAGGTCTGAGAGGTCCCTGCCATGCTGTGGTGGGGGACAGGGGTGGGACAGGGTGGTCTGCAAGGTCCCATCTGTGCCATAGCAGTGGTCAGGGGTGGGACAGGGTGGTCTGTGAAGTCTCAGCTGTGCCATGGTGGGGGACAGGATGGTCTGAGAGGTCCATCCCATGGTCTGTGAGGTCCATCCCATGCCGTGGTGAGGGACAGGGATGGGACAGGATGGTCTGAGAGGTCCCACCCGTGTCCATTTGGCTTTGGAACTTGTGAGAAAAAAATTTATGAAGTCTCAGCTGTGCCATGGTGGGGGACAGGATGGTCTGAGAGGTCCATCCCATGGTCTGTGAGGTCCATCCCATGCCGTGGTGAGGGACAGGGATGGGATGGGAAGATCTGAGAAGTCCATCCCATGCCATGGTGGTGGTTATGGCTGGATGGGGACATCTGAGAGGTCCCCGCTGTGCCATGGTGGTGGTCAGGGGTGGGACAGGGTGGTCTGTGGGTCCATCCCATGCCATGGTGGGGGACAGGGATGGGACAGGGTGGTCTGAGAGGTCCCAACCATCCCATAGTAGGGGTCAGGGGTGGGACAGGATGGTCTGTGGGTCCATCCCATGCCGTGTTGGTGGTTATGGCTGGGATGGGAAGGTCTGGGGGGTCCCAGCTGTGCCACCGTGGGAGACAGGATGGTCTGTGAGTCCATCCCATGCCGTGGTGAGGGACAGGGATGGGACAGGGTGGTCTGAGAGGTCCCAACCATCCCATAGTAGGGGTCAGGGGTGGGACAGGACTGGGTCAGGGTGGTCTCTGGGTCTCTGCCATGCCGTGGTTGAGAATTCCTGTCCCGGTGACCTCTCTCCCCCTCCTGCTCCGTTCCAGGGCCGCTGCATCAACTTCACGCGGGTGAAGAACGTGGAGACCCCCCCCAAATACCCCCTGAACAACTCCTACCCCTCCGCCCCGCCCCCGGCGCCCATCTACACCCCCCCTC